ACCACCCCTCCCCACATCCTCGCCACCCCCAACCCCAACCTCAAACTCATCCGCAAAGTCCTCCTCCCAATCATCATAAAAATCAAAACTATACTCCGGCGCCACCCCGCCACCGACGCTCCTCCGCGACCCCCTCGCCCCCCTATCCCGTTCCCTCGCCCTGCGCGCCCGCTCGTCGCGGTCGCCCAGGCAGACGGCGGTGCACGAGTCGACGGCCCCCGCCAGCGACGCCAGGCAGGGGTTGATGTAGCGGTGGCCAAAGGTCCAGATGCCGGCCGCGGCGTCCGAGGTCACGGCCTCGGTGGTGTGCGAGAATTGGTTCCAGGTCTGGCGCAGGCGCGGGTCTTGGATGAAGGCCATTGTTTTTGTTTTGGGGGTGGTGTGTGGTGTGGGTTGTGGTTGTGTTTTGTTTTGGGGGTTATTGGGGGGTGGTTGTGGTTGTGTGGGTGAATTGGTGGGTTTGCGGTCGGTGGTTGGGATGATGGACTCGGGTGTGGCTGTCGTCGGGTGGTAGCTAGGTAGCTAGCGGTCGCTTTGACGTTGTATCTGCTGGAGGGGCGACATTCGAGATATCGATTTGTTGCGTCAGTTGGGGTGCGCCGGTTGCTTAGGAGTGTTGAAATTGGTGACAGCGTTCGAATCTCGAGGAAAGAGAAGCGGTGACGGCTGTTCAATGGAACGGGATGAAATGCGCTGGAGCTGGTGTCCGCGGTCGAGTTGGAGTGAGCGGACGCGATGGCCAGGGAGTCGGCATCTGGTCCGGGCAGTAAAACCCGACGTCGAAAGGAATGTACAAGAACGTAAATGAGTCGTGGCGTGCGGCGCAATCGATGATGGGTCATTCGTAGTTCAGAGGTTGCCCGCCGCAACTGGATTGTTTCAGGGCCGCATTCCCAGATGCCGGCAAAAGAAGGTCCGGTCGGGCTGCGCCGTTCTAATCATGGATTGATGCATAGCCCGAGGTGAGACACTGGGGAAGCCCCGCTATATCACTGGTTGCCAGCTGGATTCGGAAGGCGGATCGCAAGTAAATCGCATCCTTGCGGGGCCACCTGGCGATGAGATCATCGCAACGCTCGAACGGCATCACAACAGATCAACCAAATCCCAGAGAGCCAGGTGGCACAGCGCATGGCCTGAAGAACATGGGGTTCAGTATTTGCAAAATATACTGGGTCACGCTATGTAGCTACCTAGTGCGGTAGCTAGGTGGCTCTACCTAGGATACCCGCTGGTGAGCTCGATCAAGGGGTCTGTCATGGGTAATGGCCCAGTGGTGAGGTGAGTGAGATCAGGCGAAGAAGATATTTGAGTGGATGCCGACGCCAACATATCCTTCGCTTCGCCAACAAATTGGACCGCAATCCCGCATGCCGCATGCATCGTAACTTATTTATTCCGCAAATCAGACATTCCCCACAAGCGTCTTAACGATGGCCATTAGTAGCGGCAACCGGCGCGGGAGGGGGTCGTTCGGGCCCGTACGGCTGGGGCTGGGGCTGCTGGTGCAGCTCGTCCTCGGTCTCGTCGTCGTACTCGTCGGCATCGTCACTAACCTCCTCGTCTTCGCCTTCGTCGTACTCATCGTCCTCATACTCGCTCTCGTCTCCGTCCAGATCCCCCTCCACATACCCGTTATCGACCGTGCCCGTCAACCCCGGCGGGATGCCCCGGCCCTGCTGCTGCATCTGCTTGATGATGCCGTTGAGCTTCTCGAGCTTCTTCTTCAGCTCGTCGATCTCGCTCAGGTTCTTATTCCGTTCTTCCGCCATTTTGAGGATGTTGCCGTTGACCTGGTCGTGCTTCCGCTTGAGGTTCTCGTTCTCGCGCTCGAGTCGTTTCGTCTTCTTAGACATGTCCTCCATCTCTTTCCGGAACGTCATGAATAGGTCGTTGCTGTTGTTGAGCGTATCCTCGACCTGTGCCCGCGCGTCAGTCTGCGCGCTCGGCTGGCGGCGGCGGACAGGACAGACCTGTTTGAACTTGTCCACATAGACGTTGAGCTGTTGCCTCAGTTCCGTCTCTGTCTTGGAGAACGTCTGCACCTGCGCGTTGAGTTGCCTCGACCGCCCAAGTTCCGCCTCGTAATTCTTCTTCTCCCGTTCGTACCTCGCCAGGTTGTACTGAACCTCGAGTTCCTTGGTGCGCATCTGCGAGTGGAAATGCAGCTCCCGGAGCTCGTATTGGTCGATGAAGGATTTGAAGCGCTGACAGAACCTAGGAACCGTGAGCTGTGAGTCAGGGGAGCACAAAGGACCGACGTACAGCTCCTCCATCTCCATGTCCACCACCTGCTTGCGCGGATTGTCCTTTTCCTCCTGATAGTCGTCCATCCGCCTAAGAATGCCCGAATATCTTTCGTCCCAGGTATTCTGGCTTCGCACCTGCGTGTCGGAAAGAGTCTTGTTCTCGTTCTGCCCGAGCCATTCCATCAGCACACCGGCTTCCAACAGCCAACCCTCCGGCAAGGGAGCGCACCTTTAACTTGTTATTCTCCCTTTGAAGCTCACGGCAGAGCTTCTCCAGCTTCTCCTTGAGAGACACCGTCTTGTTGAGTTCATTCCTGCTGTTGTCCTTGTCTTTTTGCAACTGGTCCCCTCGCTTTTTGTTCTTAATACTCTCACGCTCGTGCCGTTTCATATCCGAGAGAAGATCGGAACATCGCTTCGTTAGGTGATCGATTTTTTGGAGCTCGCTCATTTTCGCCGTCTGGCTGTGCAGCTCCCGATTCGCCTTCTTAACCTCCCGCTCTGCCACTAGTCAGTTGTCAAATCCCAAAGTGAGCCTCTTCCCCGCGCCATTCTACCATCAATGCTCCATGAGAGTATTACGGCGGCAACAACTTCCCCGCCTCATAACCCCACCCAAGACGAGGGGTCAAAAACAAAGCAGCTCAAGGCCCCTTTGGCCCGGCAGCTGCAGTAAAAATAGGGACCGGTACCCACCGATATCAGCCTCCTGATCTTTTTCGCCCGCGGCATCGTGCTCGAGCTGAGAAATTCTTTGCGCAATGAGCTTGGACGCTTCGTTCGGCTCGGGTGTCTTTTTCTGCCTCCCCTTCTTTCCAGGGACAGTGGCAGGCGGTGCCGGAGCGGGTCGGTTGTCATGACCGGAAACATTATTCCCAGTCGCATGGGCAGGGTCGGACGGTGGTTGATTCGGGGTTCCAGTCGCCACGGGGGTCGCGGGTCGGTGTACCACAGTTGCTGAAGCCATCGTGGGGTTGGCCAAGGACGTTGATAGCTGCCTGTGTGAGGCCTAATATACAAAGTAACAAGTGGTGAGTAAAAGAACCGTTGTCGTGGGGAAATCCGGTATCCCATACGCTATTTAACCCTGGTAGTGGCGATGTAGCCTGGGCGCGGGGGACGGCGACCGAGCGTCCTCCTCGTAGCTGCCAGTCGCTCTGAGTCCCGACGCCGTCTACGGACGAAGGACCCTGATGAAAGCACTGCGGACAGATTATTCAATCAGACGACAACGGGGGGCCGTCATGTGCCCCTCAGGTAGTGGTGCACACTCGGGACGGAATGCACGCTATGGATGCTCCGCTGCGAAGGGGAACGTGTGTGGGTTATAGTTAACCAAAACTCTCAGCGCGTTAGTTACAATACTGCGCCGTCTGCAGTTGAGCAGGGGTCCCGAGAGTAGAGGAGAATGAGTGTTAGGGTCGCACTAGGTAGGTGCTGGTGGTTGAGCAGGCGAGCAACTGCAGAGATTGCTCCTGCGTCTCCAGAATGTCGTCGCAATTGCATTAGCCTCGTCCAGCCCTGGGGAAACCTGGAACCGCTGCTAAAACTCAGGTGTGGAGCAGTACCAATTCATGCCGTGGCAGAGCGTGGACAAGACAATCGGTGCGCTCACCCGCGGCGACTCACAGCACTCGGCCCTGCCCCTTCCATCAGGTCGGGTTTGTCCTCGGTGGGGGAAGTGGCGGGCAAAACTCGGTTGCTTGGCAGATATGACGGTACCTCTGGACGAGTTCCAAATGCGGCAATCTGTGACGTGCTACGTGGTGCTTCGATAACACCCCTCTACCGCTCCACTTTCCGACCAAGCCGAGCCCAATTTCGGCTTCGGTCGCTTTCCGCTCCACTTTCAAAAGTATCCGGATTTCGACAAGAGAGCTGTATCAAGACAAGCTATCACAGGTCCTATGCCAACCTAGCCGTCGCCACACCGACCCGACCTAGCGACGAGTTCCCCTTCGCTATCCCCGGCCGGCCTTATCAAGATGTTTCGCAGTACGGCTACACGCGCTGCGAGAGCTGCTGCGACCGACCTCTCCCAGCTTCCGAAGACCGGCGAGAAACTCCATGGTTTCACGCTTCTCCGAACGAAGCATGTCCCCGAGCTCGAGTTGACGGCGCTGCACCTGCGGCACGACAAGACGGGTGCCGAACACCTTCACATCGCTCGCGACGACAGCAACAATGTCTTCTCTATTGGGTTCAAGACTAACCCCCCAGATGATACGGGCATCCCACACATCCTGGAGCATACCACGCTCTGTGGAAGTGAGAAGTTCGTGCTTGCTCGAGTCCCGGTCTCTGTACCTTTTTAACACCCTGCAGGTACCCAATCCGGGATCCCTTTTTCAAGATGCTGCCACGTACCCTGTCCAACTTCATGAACGCCTTTACCGCCTCGGACCACACCTTCTACCCGTTCGCCACCACAAATGCCCAGGATTTCAAAAATTTAATGTCCGTATACCTCGATGCGACCCTCAAACCATTGTTAAAAGAGTCCGACTTCACCCAAGAGGGATGGCGGATTGGCCCCGAGAACCCCCAGGCCCTTGCCGCTGGCGGCGAAGTGAAACCGGAGGATCGGAAGCTCGTCTTCAAGGGCGTCGTGTACAACGAGATGAAGGGTCAGATGTCGGACGCTGGCTATCTGTATTATATCAGATTTCAAGACCACATCTTCCCCGACATCAACAACTCGGGCGGCGACCCCCAGAAGATCACCGACCTAACCTACGAGCAGCTCAAGCAGTTCCATGCCGAACACTACCACCCGAGCAACGCCAAGGTTTTTACATACGGTGACATGCCGTTGGCAGACCATTTGAAGGAGATTGACGCCCAGCTTGGCGTCTTCGAACGGATCAAGGGTGATATGGCGATCCACCGCCCGATTGATCTCAGCAACGGCCCGCAGGAGGTGCGGTTGCAGGGCCCCATCGACCCCCTAGTCGACTTGAACAAGCAAGTGAAGACATCTGTGTCTTGGGTTCTCGGCGATACTTCCAACGTTGTCGAATCGTTCTCTCTGGCGTTGATCTCCGCGCTGTTGACGGACGGCTACGGCTCACCCTTGTATAAGGGTCTCATTGAGACCGGCCTCGGCACCGACTGGAGTCCTAACTCAGGTTACGACAGCTCAAATAAGGTCGGGATATTCTCAATCGGCTTGACAGGCGTGGCAGAGGCAGATGTGTCCAAGTTGAAACCCGCCGTCCAAGACATTCTCCGCGGCGTGAAGGAGAAGGGCTTTGATCGATCCAAGATCGACGGTTATTTGCATCAGCTCGAACTGGGCCTCAAGCACAAGACGGCCAACTTTGGCATGTCTTTGTTACACCGACTGAAGCCGAAGTGGTTCACGGGGGTCGATCCGTTTGACTCGCTTGCCTGGAACGACACGCTTGCTGCCTTCGAAGCTGAGTATGCTAAGAAAGGCTATCTCGAGGGGTTGATGGAGAAGTACTTGATGAACGACAACACGTTGACGTTCACCATGGCCCCAGCCGCCGAGTTTGTGCAGGAACTTGCCAAGGAGGAGGAAGCCCGCCTTAAAACCAAGATTTCTAAGGCTGTCGAAACTGCAGGTGGTGAGGAGCAGGCTCAAGCCGCTCTCGAAGCCCGGGAATTGGCTCTTTTGGCCGAGCAGGGCAAATCGAATACTGAAGATCTGAGCTGCCTACCAAGCGTTCATGTCCAAGACATTCCGCGGCAGAAAGAGCCTATCGTTTTGCGAAATGAGACCGTGGGCGAGGTCAAGCTTCAATTGCGCGAGGCGCCAACCAATGGCCTGACTTACTTCCGGGCGATCAACACATTAGAGAACCTCCCCGATGAACTGCGCTCTCTCATTCCGCTCTTCACCGATGCCATTATGCGCCTTGGCACCAAGGACATGACCATGGAGCAGCTCGAAGACCTCATCAAGCTCAAGACTGGCGGTGTGTCAGTCGGCTACCACTCGGCATCGCAGCCGACAGATTACACGCAAGCGAAGGAGGGTCTTGTTTTCTCGGGGATGGCTCTGGATCGCAACGTTCCAGTCATGTTTGACGTCCTGCGCAAACTGATCCTCGACACAAATTTCGATAGCCCAGAGGCCGCCCAGCAGATCCGGCAGCTTCTACAGGCCGCCTCGGACGGCGTCGTTAATGATATTGCCTCGTCGGGGCATGCTTATGCTCGAAGGGCCGCGGAAGCCGGTCTGACGTGGGACGCCTTCGTCAGGGAGCAGGTCAACGGCTTGTCACAAGTAAAGCTGGTGACAAGCCTGGCAAACCGGCCCGAGTCTGACAAGCTAGAAGATGTGATCGGAAAACTGAAGCTGATTCAGCAGTTCGTCTTCGCCGGCACCCTGCGGGCTTCCATCACATGCGATAGCGAGAGCGTCGCCAACAACACAGGGGCCCTTTCGAGCTTCCTGGGCTCGCTCCCGTCCCATAAGGTCAACTTCCCAGCACGCCAAAACCGGGACTTTGCCAGGAACATCAAATCCTTCTACCCCCTGCCTTACCAGGTCTACTATGGCGCGCTTGCCTTGCCCACCGTTTCTTATACGTCGCCTGACAATGCCCCTCTCCAGATCCTGTCCTCTCTCCTGACTCACAAGCACTTGCATCACGAGATCCGCGAGAAGGGCGGGGCGTATGGTGGGGGCGCATACTCGCGGGCGATCGACGGCATTTTTGGCTTTTACTCGTACCGCGACCCGAACCCGCTCAACACTATCAAGATCATGCGGAACGCCGGCCAGTGGGCCGTTGACAAGAAGTGGTCGGACCGTGATCTTGAAGACGCCAAGATCTCGATTTTCCAAGGGGTCGATGCCCCCAAAGCTGTTAACCAAGAGGGCATGAATACCTTCGTCTACGGCATCACCGAAGAGATGAAGCAAGCTCGCCGTGAGCAACTCCTCGATGTCACCAAGGACCAGGTCCGCGACGTTGCCCAGAAGTATATTGTCAACGCATTGAGCAAAGAGTCGGAACGCCTCGTCTTCTTGGGTGAGAAGCGCGACTTTGTCGACAAGTCCTGGACCATCAACGAGATGGACATCAACGGATCTGCCTAGAAGTGGATGTATTCTTAAGAACATGTACAACATTAACCGATGATACCCTTCTCTAACATCGCAGGCTCCCCGCCCGTCCAAGTTACGCAACACCAGTGCTGCCGCAATCGCAAAGCCTTCTGCCCCTCCATGCCCAACAACAAATCATCCACTACCGTGCTACCTCGGTAGCTTCCCCGTAGCAGCGTCCAGATACGATACGTCTCACTGCTTCAGTCGATAGCTTTGAGACCACAACATGGCGCGAGATCAAGATCACAGGCACCGGTCTAGCATCGGCCTAGGCTCGTTCTCTCAGAACCGCTCTCCACAGCTTTGGACTCGCGGACTAAAGAACAGAGTACATGCTGTGATTGTTGATCCTCTATTTTCACATGTGACTTACGGTTGGCGATTGGATATTCTGCCGCCCCTGCTTACATCATGTAGGTACGGTCCAAATCCGAGTGGCTATCCATCAGCCTGCAGTGCTGGGAACAATGGTGGCCAATCCCCATTGAGTCCATGCCGGCAACCGGCGCAGGTACATGCGGGTGTCAAAACCTCAATAATGAGTTTTCATCGGCGGCCAAGGTGGCAACAAGACAAGCCGTCGCGAACCTTCGAGGTGCATCGACCCTCCCTCGACCCAGCTGACGGATGAGATGTTGAGCGATTTCCGCCCTCCCTTCGGGTCCCACGACGAGAAGTGCGAAATGGAGTCAGCGGGAGCTGGGTAGCCATGGCATGCAGCTTCGATGCAGGACCCCGGGCATCCTGAATGCGCGCCATCATGCAGTGCTTCGTCAGGGCCGCGACTCATGCCAGTTGTTGGTCACTCCCCGGTGGTGTGATTTGTTAGGGCACACTCCTTTTATCACACCTCGGGCACGAATAGGGAAACAGGCTAATGTTGAGGACGGTGTCGGTGCGCGATTTTTTTTATGACTGACGCGGTGTCGCTGGCTATCGAAATATCGGTGGTTTTGCTGTCGCGGTCGCGCGACCCGCTCACCGTCCCCCTCCCTCCTCTTCCTCGGTCGGGTAGGATCGAAATGTCTAGCGGTGTCTGGCGGGGAAGGGCAAGACCCGCATTTCGTTTTTTTTTTTCCTCTACCGCTGACCGCAAGTTGCGGCTTGAAACTTGCATGGCTCGCATGGCCACCGGAAGACAGGTACCTTCAGAGACTGCGATTCATGTTCTTGAAGGAACAGAGGGGTGGGCGGCCTCTCTACGAGCCACTCCGGGTCCTTGCAGTTATCGACCCCGTTGCCGACCCCGTTACTTGCCCCCGCGATATCTGCAACACCGTTGGCCCACAACGTAACCGCAGGCGGCCCTGACCGCTCGGCGTGGTCTCGAATTCGAAATTTTGGGTGTTGACTTAACCTTCTGTGCTTCAGAGTTCCGCTCAATAGAGAGAGAGTAAAAATGCAAGTAAGAATACATTAGCGTATCACAGCCTTGGACCTTTCGCATCCTAATCCATTGGCTCATCGCGATGTGATGGAGGTCATCCTCTTGTCGATGGAAGTACCCTTCATCATGGTGGCCCCGCCTTATCCCCGTTCACAAGCTTGGTGTGGAGACTCTTTTTGTGCACTGGCCATGGAAATCAAGGAAAAAATTGAGCAGAACCCTCTGATCCCCACACTGATTGCACACCCATTGCACGCCCCTCAGTTAATAAGAAGCTCCGACCCAGCTTCCAAACTTTCACCTTCCCACTCACAACGGTTTTCCGACATTTGGTCTCGCATCGTCTCTCCAGCCTCCCTCTCTCCATCGATTTCCGCCTATTTCGAATCCCGAGACAATTGAAATTCTCATACTCTGCCTCTTGTGTAAGTTCGACATCGATTTCAGCATTTCTTTGGTCTAGGCCTCGCAAAGAAGCGCCACACGAGGTACAACCCAGAGGGTCGGAATCGGCTGCACAACGTCGCGTGCCTCTCTCTCCCCGGATCTTCTGGCCTCACTCCCGTCACGTGTTGGAGAGTGGCCTAGTTCTTCAACAAAAGAGTCTATGCAGTACAATAGCGCATTGTTCGGAATGTTGACGTGGGTTGTTCACAGGATCGGCTCTTGCTCCGTCACACCTCGACTGCCTTTGGTCTCCACAAAGGCACCTGCTTGACTACGGCTTTCTTGGCCGTAGCCGTTACCTCGGACGAAGATTTCAGCCTCCAAAAAACCTTCCATATCATCAACGTACTACCACCGCCTGCTGAGGACGCCTAAGGAACTCGAGATTTCCTTGTTCGACTTCCTTTGCCACCAGAACCCCGAGTTCGACTCCCCCAACCAGCTGCCGCATAGGACGAGTTGTGCGGTTCTTCCTCTCACCGGGGAAGAGTCGACGAAGTCTCGTCAGACCGACCAGGGATCCGTCTGCTTCCGCTTTCGACCTCCCTAAAACCTGCTTGAGCACCCGTGCTATAAATCTCGCTCCTGTCTCCTACAGACTTGATTTCGCGCTCTAGCCTACCACAGCCAACGCGAACCAGACAACCATTCTCCACCCGCTAAACACGCCACGCACACCTCCGATACATCTTTCACTCGCGAAATCGAGGGATATGGTTATGCCAACGCTCATCACAGATCGATTTACACCACTTGATTATACGGACTTGACGAATAATCATGTGTTTTTGAAGAGCTACAACAATGGCGTCTTTGGATACAACCAGCATGGCCACCCCGGTCATCATGATGACGGGGACAGGCTCAACTCAGCAAAGCAGCTGATTGGCGACGCTCTTCGGGAGCGCGTCGAAAACGTTGATCACGAGTTCTGCGAACCCGGCGAAGAGGACACCTTTTTCGTGGCCGACCTCGGCGAGGTTTATCGCCAGCATCTCCGCTGGAAACTGAACTTGCCACGGGTCAGGCCGTTCTATGGTACGACCCCCCGGTTTCCCTGACTTGATCCTGACTTCCGTACTGACTATTCATAGCCGTCAAGTGCAACCCGGACACGAGGCTCCTGGAGCTGCTATCCGCCCTCGGCACCGGTTTCGACTGCGCCTCCAAGTCCGAAATCGAACAGGTCCTGAACCTGGGCGTTGACCCCTCTCGCATTATCTATGCCCAGCCCTGCAAGACCAACTCGTATGTGCGCTATGTTGCCCAGAAAGGCGTGCGCCAGATGACCTTCGACAACGCCGACGAGCTTCACAAGATCGCGCGTTTATATCCCGATGCGGAGCTCTTCCTGCGCATCCTCACCGACGACTCTTCTTCGCTGTGCCGTCTCAGCCTCAAGTTCGGAGCTTCGCTCGATTCCACCGACAGCCTCCTGGCTCTGGCAAGTGAACTGGGGCTCAACGTTGTGGGCGTCAGTTTCCACGTCGGCTCGGGCGCCTCTGATCCTGGCGCGTTCTTGAAGGCCGTTCGGGATGCCCACGAGGTGTTCCAGCAAGCTGCTTCCCACGGATTCTCGCTCCAGACTCTAGACGTGGGTGGTGGTTTCTGCAGCGACAACACCTTTGAACAGATGGCTGGTGTCCTCCGTGCCGCTCTCGACGAGTACTTCCCCGCTCACTTGGGGATCAACCTCATTGCGGAGCCCGGTCGCTACTACGCATCCACGGCCTTTACCCTGGCCTGCAACGTCATTGCCCGCCGTACCATTGAGGACATGTCGGCCGCCAGCTACATGGTGTACGTCAACGACGGCTTGTACGGCAACTTCAGCAGCATCATGTTCGACCACCAGCACCCCATCGCCAAGGTGCTGCGCTCTGGTGGCCGCACCATGTACAACACTCCCGCCGCCGATGCCACTGACGACGGCATCGAATACAGCATCTGGGGCCCCACTTGCGATGGTATTGATCGTATCACCGAGAGCATCAGGTTCCCCCGGTTGCTGGATGTGGGCGACTGGCTGTACTTTGAGGACATGGGAGCCTATACTAAGTGCTCGGCCACCACGTTCAACGGGTTCACCAACAGCCATGACGTCATCTATGTGTGCAGCGAGCCGGGTGCGAAGGCTCTGCTCGGCCTTGATTGAAATGATCGTCTAAAGGCTTCGGAGGGTCCTCGGGGACCGACATGGCGGTGCTTTCAATTCTTCCCGTTGCTTTAGAAAAATGGTGTTAGAGGCAGAGCCTTCGATTGAGAATAGATAGAAACGACGAATAGAAGCATGTCTATTCATGGAATTGGTGCCTCCTATAATATTGATCGATTGCTAAGAGCATTATCCGTCCCTTGGTATGTTTTTGAGACGACCAAGCAACCTGAAAACCGGTGATACAATATTGGAGTGATATCGTCGGTGTTGGTTACCTGACTTCATTGGACTCAATACTGATGCAGGAGGTTAGGGGTATAGTAACAAGAGCAACCATCTGTGGGTAGCTAGTGTGACAATAGAAGAAGGCCGGGTTCCACGATGGCGAATGACCACATCGTTAATAAATGATCGATCCCCCACGCCGAGCATCTCGGCCAGTCCCGCGCCATCTGGCGCCCCCATTTGACCGTTATGGCGTCTTCCCTTCCCTTTCCGGCACCGAGATGCATAAGTACTTGACGAAGAATAGCCCCAGCGCCTTCCATTCTCTTCTGCTTTTTGATTTTATCAGTGGGGGTTAGCTTTCATGGCTTGCTTTTAAATTGCCCCTTTCTTTTTTTTGTCTTTTGTTTTCGCTTTTGCTATGTTATTCCATCATTCCAGACGCTCCTTGGTCAGTTCAGGCATGATCTGACTTACTTGTCCGTGATCCGCCCATCCGCTTCCTTCTTTGTACGACCGGACCAGAATGGGCTGAGCTGAAGCCGGGATTAGCAAAGGACTAGAAACGCCGTACCACACACACACTCACCACACACCATTTAGTCTTCTGGTCTTGTGCGAGTTTCCGTTTGTGCGCGTGTGCGAGTCTCCCTCTCTTGTGTGCCCCTCACAGGGCTCTCCTTTTGGGTGAAACTGTCTCGGCGCCCAATCCAATCATTTGAGTGTTTGTGCTTACGGAACTTCTACTACATAGTTTCTTCATTTACTTCGTGCTTCCCTTCTTCGTTTGAGCAAACAGACCGATACCTTCTTTTAGTTTGATCGTCCGGGCATACCACCTTATCTGCTGACCTGACGAGGCCCAACAAAATCTTGCCCGGGTACTGTCCCCAGAGGAATAATGCATAGGGTAGATACCTACCATGCGAACCTGATCATCCATTGACCAGAAATACGAAGCAAACGCAGTCAATGCCACAATCGCTCAGCCATCAACCACCATCAACAACCCAAGCAACCAACATCCCCCAAATCCAGACGAGGTAAGGCTAGAGACTTGCAACGCAACCATGGTCCGCAACATCGTCATCCTGGCGGGATCCTCCCACCCGGCCTTCGTCGACAAGGTCGCCGGGGCCCTGGGCGTCGCGCCCTCCAGCAGGGTGCTCACCAAGTTTGCGAGCGGCGAGACGCGGTGCGAGATCCGCGACTCGGTCCGGGGCAAGGACGTCTACATCGTGCAGAGTTTCGGGACGGGGGACGACGGCGACGGCAGCACTAATGGGGTGGACCAGGGACCGGAGGCAGGGGAGGGTCAACAACCGTCGCCGGCGGCCGGGCCGAAGCACACGGTCAACGACTACTTCATCGAGCTGTGCATCATGATCTCGGCTTGCAAGACGGGCAGCGCAAAGAGGGTCACCGCGGTGCTGCCGCTGTTCCCTTACTCGCGGCAGCCGGACCTGCCGTTCTCCAAGGTCGGTGCGCCGTTGGTCGGGATGCCGACGGCGCCGGCACAACAGCAACAGCAGCAGCAGCAGCAGGGGAAGGGGGCGGCGGTTCAGTACACCTTTGAGAGCGTCCCTGCTACGCCGGGGCCCAATATCCCTAGGACGGTGGGGCTGAGCACTGCTGGCGTTGATGTGGTTGAGATGATGGGGTCTCTGCGGTCCAAGGGAGGGAGTGGGCGGGTTTCGCCGGCACCGACGTCGGTACCGCAGCAGCAGCAGCAGCAACCTGACAGTTACACCACGCATGACTACGAGAATCCCGCGTTGATGATGGCGCTACAGGCCAAGCCAGGACATAAGCAGTTCATGGCTCAGTCTGGGTCGCTGGTCGCGGACTTATTGACGTGCGCCGGGGCTGACCGGATCCTTACCTGTGATCTCCACGAGAGTGCCTACCAGGGGTTCTTCGATATTCCTGGTACGTCCTTTTCCCCTACCTCACGGGACTCACCCCTGAGGGAAGTACTGACTTGTCTTCCAGTGGACAACCTCTACGCCCGGCCTCTCCTGAAGCGCTACATCCAGCAAAACATCCCCAACTATCGCGACGCCGTCATCGTCAGCCCGGACGCGGGCGGCGCCAAACGGGCCACCGCCATAGCCGACAGCCTCGGGCTCGCCTTTGCGCTCATCCACAAGGGTGGGTATATTCACTTCCCTCCTTACCTCGCGTCACACCGCACCATCATGCTGACATGACATCCCACAACTCTCAGAACGGCGCCCGCCCAAAATCTCCCAAGCCCCCAAAGCGACCATGATGCTCGTCGGCAGCGTCGCCGCGCGCGTGTGCATCCTGATCGATGACCTGGCCGACACGGCCAACACCATCACGCGCGCGGCCAAGCTGCTCAAGCGCGAGGGCGCCGTCCGCGTCGTCGCCCTGCTCACCCACGGCGTGCTCAGCGGCGACGCCATCGCCCGCATCAACGCCTCGGCCCTCGATGCCGTTGTGGTCACGGATACTGTGCCGCAGGATCCCCGGAGGAGGAGGTTGTGCCCCAAGTTGGAGGTGCTGGATATTAGTGCGACGTTTGCGGAGGCGATTCGGAGGGTGCATCATGGGGAGAGTGTCAGTATGCTGTTTCAGTATGATTGAGTTGGATGGGTTTATGGATTCATTGGTTGCTTGATGGGGGGAGGGCGGTTTGGTGTTGATGTTGGTGTCGGTGTCTGTGTCTGTGTCGTGTGCGTGTGCTGGGGTTGGGGTTTGGGGTTTGGGGAACTTTGTGTCAATGGGGTTTAGGGGATGTGGGGTGCGGGGTGCGATGGGCTTGGGGTCTGGAAGGGATCTGAGGTACTTGCGGAGTTATGGGGTGATGCCTGTGCTTGGCACGCCCGGTACTTGCTTGGTAACCCTTGTTTTCTGTCCTGGGCATTGGTAAAAAATGCTTGGGATCGGGATTGGCACCGGCAGTGGCTTCTTGGGGGAAATGCTTGGGATTGCTTGTGATGACAAGAAAAAGCTTGAGACGGGAAGAAGACGCTTGGTTGGGTTGTCATGATACCCCAAACTCAACAAAGGGAATTGTGAGTGTATTATTCGGGGTTGGAGTTGTCGGTTGAGCTAATGTCAAAACGTTGTATCGAATCCTGACGAGTAAAATGAGAGATGGGCCAGAACAAGTGCGAGGCTCGGAGGGTTCCTTCGCAGGGACACAACCAATGTCACATCATCGCCCAAACCGTTGACCGGCACGATCCAAGGCCCTCCCGGCTGAAAATAAGGTTGGCGATGGGACGATCAACGGCGAGCCGTGAGCTCTTCATCACCCTGTCTCGCTTGTCTCGCTTGTCTCGCCTGTCTCACTCGTCTAAGCGAACCCTTGCAATCTATACTCATCGACAAAAAAGCACGACTATAACTTACTGTTCGTCTTTTCCTGGGGCGCGAGGCTCGGATTTTTGGAGAGGTCTGGAGCCTCGAAATCGCCAAGACGAAGGATTCCCACAGGATGGGGAAAAAACTGGGAAAACAGACGGGGTTCCGGGGAAACGGCGGGGCCCCATGTTTTGGGATGACTGTTGATTCGTTGTATGGTTTCATTCATGGCATGTTGTCTACCAGAAGGAGCATCTTGGAGCGACGATCTGAGGGGAAGGATCTCTTCCAAGGCGGGTATGCTTGCCAGCCTTGGAAGGTGCGGTTAATCGGCACTCCAATTGTCAAGCGCCGTCAAGCATCAGCATGCATCAGCAAGCATCCGCATGCACCTTCGAATCCATACCCAGCTATACGCCCGCTCCGAATGCTGCGTTGCCACGCGCTCAAGTCCGAGCCTTCTTAAGCTTTTAATCACCCGTCATTCCAGTCTCGATCATGTTCCGTCATCCTCCTCCTCCACAATCTCGAGGCCCATAGGGTATTCCACGCCCAAGAAGAAGAAGAAGAAGAAGGTGAAGAGTAACAATGGCCAAAGACGCTACCGCGGCCGATCCCCCGGCCTCACATATCGAGAAGCCGGTGTCCTCTGAGGAGGCAGTGGTCTCTACGCAGGAAGACCCCAAGGCTACCGGCGACCGTCGCAGCTCAGTCGCTCTCAATGTGATTGAGAATCCGCTCACTGTAGGTTCATACCCATTACCCGTGACACCAAACTGCAATTGTCCCCCGCCCCGGTAGTAGGTAGTACAGCAGCTTACAAAACCAAACAGCGCGTTTCTGCCGAGCAGGCGGTCGCTGACGCCAGGCGGTTCGCCGAGGAACATGGCATGGCCGAGCATGCCGATCTGTTCGGGCGTGGTGTGCTCGTCGCGCGTGACATGGATAACTTCCAAAACGTCCCCGGCCTCACCCCAGAGGAACTCGCAGCCTTGGAGTACGAGAGAGATCACAAATGGCACGGCCCGAGAATGCTCTGGTACGCCATCGGCTTGTGCGCCATGGGCGCCGCCACCCAAGGCTGGGATCAAACCGGTACCAACGGCGCCAACCTGACCTTTCCCAAGTCACTTGGCCTTGATGTTGAGAACTCGGCCACGGATCAGTGGATCCAGGGCCTCATCAACTCTATCATCTTTCTGACAGCTGGTCTCATGTAAGTTCTTCTTGGCCCCTCGCTGCAAGTCCTTGCCCAACAGAACATTGCGACTGACGCCGTCGCAACAGTGGTGCCTTTATCGTTGATCCTCTTAACCATTACTTCGGCCGACGTGGAGAAATTTTCCTTACCGCTGTCTGTCTCACTGTTACCCCGATCGGATCTGCTTGCGCGCAGTCTTGGCAAGGTCTATTTGCTGCCCGTTTCATCATGGGTATCGGTATTGGTGCAAAGAACGCTACGGTTCCCATCTATTCCGCTGAGATGGCTCCTGCCCGCATCCGAGGTGCTCTCGTGATGTTCTGGCAACTTTGGGTCGTTATCGGTAAGCTTCCTTGTTCATCATATCGGTTCTAGCTTTGTCTGAACGCATCTTTAACATTTCTGATTAGGCATCTTTTTGGGTCTTCTTGCCAATATCGCCGTCCTGGGCGTCGACGACGATCTCGAGTGGCGCCTGCAGCTCGGTTCTGCTTTTATTCCCTCGTTAATCCTCGCCGCTGGCATCTACTTCTGTCCCGAGTCCCCGCGTTGGCTCATGAAGCATGGCAGGCAGGCCGAGGCATTCAAAGCCATGTGCCGCCTTCGTGCACACGACATCATCGGCGTCAGGGACTACTACTACTCTTGGGTCATCTATGAGGAGGAAGCCCGTCTGGCCGCCGGCTCCACCTACTTTTCTCGTCTCTGGGATTGCTTTGCCGTTCCTAGGATCAGACGCTCCAACTACGGTGCCTCGACAGTCATGATTGCCCAGCAAATGTGTGGCATTAATAGTGTGTTTTTCCCTTTTCTGCCCCGGCTTCGCATGCAAACAAATCCGCTGACACTTGGCAGTCATCTCTTTCTACAGCTCCAGCATCTTCGAGAACGTCGGCTACTCTCCCCAAGACGCCCTTTACGCCTCTCTAGGCTATGGTGCCGTTCAGGTCTTGGCTACCATCCCCACACTATTCCTAATTGATACGAAGGGGCGCCGCACCCTGTGCATGATCCGTAAGCTCTCGCTCCTTGGAACCCCCCCCCCCCCGATATTGTAGTAGAGAGGTAACCATTGCACTTCCCCACGTCATTCTAGAAGTTCCCCTTCATGTGTGTCTTTTTGGTTGCGGGCGGTCTCTCCCTGCTTAACCCTACGGACGAAAAAACACCCAAACTTGGTCCCCTTGTTTTGTTCGTCTATCTCTTTACCATTGCCTACTCCTTGGGCGAAGGACCGGTTGCTTTCCAGTATTCCGCCGAGGTGTTTCCTTACGATCCAGCGTGAGCAGGGCATGGCCTGGGCCGTGTGCATTAACAACACCTTCGGTAAGCTTATCCCACTTCAATATCCACCAGTACCTTCTGCTAACCCTAATCTTCAACAGCTGGTGTCCTTGGTCTTACCTTCCCTCGTATGCAAACTGTCATGACTCCCACGGGTGCTTGTAAGTTCCTCCTTGCTCTAGTGCTGTGTCGTGGCCCGGTCGCTAATATTGATGGGCAGTCGGGTTTTACGCTGGCCTGAATCTTATCGCCTGGTTCATGATCTTCTGCTTTGTTCGAGAAACCAAGCAGCTTACCCTAGAAGAAATCGACCGTAAGTCAACTACATCCACCCGCTGTTTTATTTTGGCAACAAGATTTTGATCCTAACTCTCGTCGCCAGAGGTCTTCTCCGTCCCAACGAGCCAGTTCATTAGCCACGAGTTCAAGGTTTCGGTTCCTTACTTCTTCAAGCGACACGTCCTCCGCAAGAATATTCCCAAGCCCCCTCCACTCATGGAGAAGGCCGGCATCAACGCCGGGCCTGGCTCAGCCTAAGGATCTACAAGTAGGGAAACACTCGATTTTGGGGATGCATCTGCGTGGTATGTTGGTTGGTTGGTTCGGATTAGCTGCCACTCAGGAGCTGCACCTCCTGGATTTGTATTTTATAAGGGTCTCTTCTGCTTTTCATTCGGGCGCCTGGCTTTCTTTTAGATACCCTCCAGGCTCTCTCGCACCGTGGAAATGCACCTTCTTCCCCGCCATCATTGATGACATGGCGGCAAACCATGCGTGCGCATTCTACTGCTTTGCTATGACCGAGCATGCGATTGTTGTGTCGAGTGGCTCCCTCGTCTTTTCGGTTGTCGTTGGCTGGAGGCTATAATTGGGTTCTACTTCTGAGACAAGTACAACAACACTAAATCTAGGATAGGGGCACCATGCCACGGGTCAACAAATACCCCTTTTCCTACAAAAAAAAAGGAACAACAAAAACAATACTGTGCTTGCAAAACTAACCGAAGTAAGCCTATTCTCGTGCTCCGACGTCATTGGTTTCTTTACAAAATCGCCAGCCGCACCAACGTCATGAGCTGAGCGATGGACTCCGGCTTCGGCACGCTCCACGTCGATTTAGTATGTCTCTTTTGGATTTGGTCGCCATGGTGTATGGACTCGGAGGTGGTAACAGAGATTGGTGGCTGGACGTGGACCACAACCGATGTCACGACACCGTCATGTCACTGCATGTTTTGCATTTCTTACGCTGCCCGACATTCAACGGTAGGTACCTACATGTAATGCACGCAGACACGCGCCCCTTTCCCTTTGCGCCTTTGAGATCGAGGGATGCGGATGCGGGACACGCTGGATCGAACGCAGGGGGGGTCAGGAGTTAGGTGTGGCGTGCGGGGTGAGGGTTCGAAAGGAGGCAAGGCACCGAGGCCAGGGTTGTGTTTAATTGGGAACGCGAACCCGACGCGGGGCGACCTGTGAACGAGACGCGCCGCAGATTGGCCAACGCAAGGGAAGGCAGGTCCGTGCAACAGGCACACGTTTGGTTCGGCCAAGGGTTCTCAGCCACTCGATTGACCCCCACCTTTGATGGGCACATGGGGCACATGGGCTTGTGCCGCTGGGCAGAAATCAAAACAAATCAACAAAACCGAGCTCTGCTGGCGAACCAGATGAGGGGGTTTGGCTTTGCTGCCATGCACGCCCGTCCACTCAGGTTGGCCGCAACCTCCTCACCCCATGCACTTGTCGGATAAGGGGACAACAAATACCGCGGCTCGTGACCGCAGGGGAAAAGATAATAAGGGAGAGATGCCCATTGTGTTTACGGCGGTTATGAGACGCACTTGATGAGGATGGCCGCTTTTGGCAGCGACCGGGAGTTTCCAAACAACACAAAGCCAAGTGATGCCCCACATTGCGACTCAAAACGACCGCAGCGTTTAATAATCCAGTTGTGTTAGGAGAATCATCTCATATTGATGGAGGCATAATTCTAGAATTATGGTGGAGGAGTTGTGTAGATTCGTACATCTCCTACATTCATTCCAACACACATGATTGATTTGAGGGTCCTGCTCGGTTGTGTTGGGTACATGATGTGCAGAAAGGGGTTCGGAAACAGGAAACAGGAAACAACATGGCGGGAAGGGCCCTGGATTAGGTGCGGCTGGAGCTGGCTGCCGCCAAGTTGCACAGCACCGGCCCCTTGAACAGCACGTTGCAGCCGCGAGTTGTGGATGTTTTGTTGATGGCTCGTGCATTCCAGGATGGCCGGTCGAAAAGGGCGAGTGAGCGGTGGAGCGCGACGACAGGCCCGCTGTTCGCGGTTCTGGAATGGTTGAATCCACCTGCAAACTGGTGTAAGGGACTGGAATTCGGACGGAAAATTTCCGCCAAGATTAGCAACTCTGAGGAGAACAATAACATACCGGCGGTTAATACGGTAAGACAATAGAAATCGCCAGCACAACAGGTCGCGGTTGTACGGGGCCCACCACACTCGCCAAGGTCCAAGCAGGGGGCGGCAGGTACCCTCCCCATGTCCTTCCAACTTCATTCCGTCTCTCAACCACACTTCTCCGCCTTGACACACATCATCACCGTCGCCGTCGATATCTCGAAATCCTCACCACCCGCGATACCCGACCGAACTCCCTACGAAACCGCGCGATTGACATGACATTGCGATCCTCAGGATAACCTCTATCACCAGCAAGCGCTTGGGCCCTTGCCCTGTGCCGTTGCCCCGCCATCGAACGAGCGCAGACGTCAGCGAGCCCAACGATTGCGCGCCTTTATCCCTCGTCGCGTCGCTTCGCCGATAACCTTCCGCCTACCGCAGCAACTCCCGAAACTACTACAGACATCACTCCTTGGATTCATTCGGCAACCAGGCGTCTGGCGAACATACAGTCATTTCGGAACGTCATTCGGGACGAACAATCGCTTGTGGACCTACGCGCTCTCGAGTCTCGTTCGCTCTACATTTTAGTATTTGGCGCACACAGCAGTCTAGTCCGTGGAACAGACAAACGGTCACTGTTTTCGGTTGCCTTCGCGATTTAAGAAATCAACACGCGCTTTTCCGCAACTATCCGCCCCAATCAACCACCCACCCTCAAACGCATGCACACCTGCTTTGCATTCGTCACTTTTTGATTGGCTTCGATCGAAATGTCATTCAACATCGCCCGAGAGGGCGAGGCGTCTGCCTCTGGCGCCGGCGCCGGATCATCTAATGCAAAGTTTACTCACCCTGCTGCCGCGAGGCCGCCCTCAGGCCTCCTGCCCCATAGCACACCATCATCTAGAAACGGCACAACCATCGGACAGGTCCGTCCAACAAATGCCGACACCGGTCACAACGACCCTGCCACCGTGCGATCGCTCGACTCACAGGGGAGTCGACTCTATGGAAGCCCGCGTAGGAAACGGCAGAGGATAGATGCCGACCGGTATGGCTAACCTTTTTTCCCCTTGTCTACGGATCCATGCTAACCTTGCGTAGTTTTATTCCGGCGCGATCAGGACGCGATCTGCAATCTGGCTTCCACTTGATCCCCCCGCCACCGCGACCAACTCCGGAGCGGGGCAGGCCGAGAAGCCCGCCAAGGGGTTACCGCTCCCAAAAGAGTAAGTGGTTTTGCTTGACAGCTAATGTTTGATGTGTACCTAACGCGCTGCAGGCGAGGAAGCAGACGAGACCTTCAGGGAGCTACTGCGTGCGGAGCTTTTTGATGATGCTAGTATCCCACAGGTTTCTCCAAGATGGACGTCGGATGACCGGATGCGCACACCGCCCAGGAATTCACCCTCCCTCCCCGCAACTCCACAGAAGAACCTCTTTTCCTACGTCTCACCACGACATCAACATCTCATCGGACTTTCCACGCCCAGGAAGACACCGCAAAGGGCGCACAACCTAATTCCGGATCCGCGCCTGGACACCTATAGCACGACCCCTATATCATATAACAGCCAACAGATGTTGCTTGCCCCGCGACGCCAACACAGGACAGTCGCTAAAGTGCCGATCAAAGTTTTGGATGCACCGAACTTGGCCGAGGATTTCTATCTTAACCTGATGGACTGGGGCAGCTCGGATGTACTAGCCGTCGGCCTCGGCACTGGCGTCTTCATGTATAACGCGCAAAACGGCAAAGTGGCGAAGCTGTGCACCCTTGAGGACGACAAGGTGACTAGTGTATCCTGGATCCAGAAGGGAACCCACATCGCCGTCGGCACCAAGAAGGGACTTGTGCAAATCTGGGACGCGCAGAAGTTCAAGAGGCTTCGAACAATGACGGGCCACACGGCACGGGTTGGCTCTCTGGCGTGGAATGCTCACATCCTCTCCACCGGGTCACGCGATCGGTCGATCCTACACCGCGACGTCCGCGCGCCGGACCAGTGGGTAAAGCAGCTAACCGGCCACAAGCAAGAGGTGTGCGGCCTGAAATGGAACTGCCAGGACGGCCAATTAGCCAGCGGATCCAACGACAACACGGTCTTGGTCTGGGACAAGGTCATGGACCAGAAGCCTCTCTGGACCTTCAACGAGCACATCGCCGCCGTCAAGGCCCTCGCCTGGTCGCCGCACCAACGTGGACTACTTGCCTCCGGCGGCGGTACGGCCGACCGCCGGATCATCTTCCACGACACGGTCCGCGGCACCGTCCGCAACGACATCGACACGGGCAGCCAGGTCTGCAACCTCATGTGGTCCAAGAACTCCAACGAGCTCGTCTCCACCCACGGCTACATCCAGAACAACCTCGTCGTCTGGAAGTACCCCTCCATGACCCGCGTCGCCAGCCTCACCGGTCACACCTACCGTGTCCTCTATCTGGCCATGAGCCCCGACGGGACGCAGGTGGTCACGGGAGCGGGGGATGAGACGCTGCGGTTCTGGGAGGTATTTAAGCCGAAGCAGCCGATCAGGTTGCTGGGTGGGAGTATCGACTTGCCGGTTATTCGGTAGTTTTGGAGGGAGGCGCCACCCTTATTTTTTCGTGGCGGAGGAGAGGAGAGGAGAGGAGGAGGAGAAAGATTCAGCGGTGATTTGCATTTTGTGGGATTTAAACAACGAGCGAGCTAGGCATGGGAGCGGGATGATATGGGAACTGGGCTGGCTGGAGTTGGGAGTTCGTTGGTTGAACGGCACTGGACAGCGGGAATGGGATGCCATCTGGGACACGGGGGTTTTTGCGCCTTGGGATGGGGGGAAGGCTTTCAGCGGCATGGCGGCTTGGGGAATTCTGCTTGTGTTTGGGATCGAATCGAATCGGTGTTTTTTTGGGGGGAGGCGTTTGGGAGTCTCATCAATCAATGGGTGGATTGCTTTTTCGGTGTGTGCATGAATGAATTGGTCTCCGCGATGGCGATAGCGAAGCCGGCTCGGTAATTGTTTGTGTTGGGTGATTGATTTGGACGGGCGTCGGAGGTTGGGCATCCGGGTGGCTATGGGCTATGGCTGTGATGGGGATGAGGGTGGGCTGGGCTTTGTCCCCCGTCGAGGACTCCATTAATGCCAACCTCTTGACGCACTTTTGCTTGCCGGTTTGACTGACGTGTTATCTGATGACATCAACCGTGACTTTGTTGTGGTAATTATTATGTTTGTGTTTGTTGTGACTGAAGTAGTTTGCGGTGCAGCACTCCATCCGACGTAACGTTTCACCACCAGATCATCTTCGGGTAGGAGGCAGTTAGGCATGGCTTAGCTCAACCACCGCTTTGGGATAAAAAGAAGGGGTGCAAGTGCCATCTTGATTTAATTCCGGTATTCGTTAGTGTCACGTTAAGAAGGTAATCCTTGATGCCACTGCGCAACACATAGGTATAAACAAATCCCATCAGACAGAAAAGAGCGGTACCAGTAAGGATACATGAGCAGGCAACAACCGGAGTAATCACTCCCTACACTCAACAACAAGAGGGGACACTCACAAGTGGAAACAATCGAAACAAGCGTGCTAAATAGGGGGTATCATAAGAGGTGCAATAATCTGGTCCTGTTCCTCCCCGATGTTCCCTCATCAACTACCATGGACTGGCAATCTCGCCACATGTCTGTATCCAACAGCAGGCCATATCATACTATACCACCTAGCATGAAAAAAACAGGGTGTGTAAAAAGGAAACGAGCGGCTGGCCAAAATCCACCCCCCAAAGGTGAGTGACCTGACCTCTATTATCCAGCGCCCTGCCCATTCCTCCACCCCTCCTCCCCCTTAAACAAATCGATCGTTCAAGGCCCGCCAACAAAAACAAGCCGGGATATCGTTACCATGCCATGTATTACATAAAAGAAAAACCAAAGTAAAATAACCCATCACCGGGACTCCCCACTCCCCATCCGCCTCTCGCGGGCGACATCCCTCGCGCCCCCATCCATATCCATATCCGCCCCCGTCGCCAACACCGCCGCGGGCCGCTCATCATTCAACAACGGGATGTTATCGACACCACTCACCCCACGCATATCATCATCCAGCCTCTTCCCCGAGATACCATCGGCCAGCGAGCCGGTGGTGCTCGCGCCAGCGGCGGGGGAGGCGACGGGGGACACGACAGCGGTGCCGGAGCCGTCCTCGTGGGGCCAGACGTCCGGGCTGTGCTGCCACTTGGCGACCTCGGCCTTCATGGCCTCGAGCTCCTTCTGGAAGCGCTTGCCAAAGACGTCGATGTAGTAGGTGCTGCCGTTGTAGACGCTCCAGGCGAAGACGACGATGAGGAAGAGGGACGACGCCCAGCGGCTGAAGAACCACAGCGGGCAAGGGAGCATGGTGAGCACGGCGTAGATGTACTGGATCAGCATGAAGGCTGGTTCTTGGAGGGCCGAGGGGAGGCCCAGCACGATCTTGCCGATCCAGACTTTGCTGTAGGATTTGCGCAGCCAGGTGAAGGAGGTGGGTCGTCCCGCGGCGATTTTCTCGCGGCGGCGGACGGTGATGAAGAAGTAGTACATCAGCTGCCAGGCGGCGTAGGGGATGGAGGACCAGGCGAGCATGGAGAAGACGTTAGCGTAGGCGGTGGAGGAGCCGGCCGGGGAGGTCTTGATGGTCCAGATGGCGGGAAATCGGGCTTGCTGGGCGGCTGGGTCGATGAGGTGCACAATACAGTGCAAGGTGGCGCACGGCATGATGTGTATGAAGAGGGAGGTGACCTTGTCGAAGGAGTGGAAGACCAGCGAGTTGCGCCACATGATGATGGCGACGGCGTTGTTCCCGAAGGCGAGGCAGTAGACGGCGGTAAAGAGGCGTTTGGAATTGGGGAAGGCCCAGATGCTGAGCATGAGGAGGAAGTTGACGAAGTAGCAGAGGTCGGCGAGGAAGTAGTGGTAGCCGCGCTTGTGGTACGTGTAAAAGCGGATGGGCATAAAGTAGAGGACCTGTATCGTGTACCAGAGGTGGAAGTATTCCGGGTAGCCGCCGATCAGGTAACCGCTGACGAAGATGTTCATGACGCCGCAGATGAAGGAGATCTTTTCACGCAGGGTGATGGCCTTGGTGTCGTTCCATCGCGAACCGAGTTTCTCGACGCTCGTGCGCATCCGCTTGCGATACCGATCCAGCTGCTCCTCAGCCGAAGGCACCCGTCGCCGCCATTCGTCTACCATCCGCTCGCGGGCGATACGGCTCTTGTTCCCAAATGCCTGACGCGACTTGCGCACCTTCTCTGTCTGGGCGGATATACCCTTCTGGAGCTTCTCAAGCTGCTGCGACAGCGCGAAATTATCGAGGATGTCGAGCACGGTCAAACGGTCCAGCGGCGGAAACGGGTCCCAGTCTTCCTGATAGGAGCTACTCCCCGAGAAGGACGGGTTGCGAGAGAGGCGTGGGCTGGTGGGGACCGTCGGGCCCAAGGTGGGCGTGACGACGGCATGTTCGTGCGAGTCGTCGTCGGGGGGTGAACCGCTAAGTTCCGGAGTAAGGATCGCTTCGCTGTCGGTGGAAGCGCCCTCCCACCTATTGTTGTTTCCTGGGATCGATATAGGCTTGCTGCGGTCTTCCGAGTCCGCCATGTTGCCTTGTCAGGGTCGTCGGCCGATTCCGATTAAAAGAGGATTGTAATACGCGATGGGGGATTGGAGGCGGGATGAACTGGGGAAGGAGGCAAGTTAGTCCACTGCTAAATAGTGACAAACAAGGTTTAGATTATTATAAACAAAAGACGGGCGCGCAAGGTGGTGGGTATCTAACGTCATTGATGTGCACAGAACCACTTCTTCAAAGGAAACCGATCATCAAGAAGCGGTGGGACGCTAGACTTACACAGATTCGCGAAACAAAGGCGATCGGATGTAGTCTAAGCGCACTGAAAGCTGAAATTCGGACTAGATCCCCTTGTTCGGCTCGAGTGTCGCGGCTTTGAGTTCGGTGCGTCAAGAAGATTGCTCGATGCGGCCGATGATGTGCGATCTTTGGACCGGGGCCGGTGGGTGGGTGGCTCGAGCCAGCTTTGCACAAAAGCAAGTCTTGAAGCTTCAAGGAAGCTGTCTGCTTTTTAAAAGTGTTCGGTTCGAGGCTGCGCTGACGGAATGAATCATGCGAGGGACGGTTGAATGGTCAGGAGGACTCGGTTAACTGTCACACTTTGAGATATTGGGGGGTTCTCGGTTGTATCCCATCCTTTTTGGTCTATGAGTCGAGGCAGCACAAGCTTGTGATGCCAGGCAGGGAGTGCCCAGCTGACCACTGACCAGAAAAAGGTGTTGAGCTTCTTGCTGCAGGTCTTAGCGTGTCAAAGAACCCTTGCGACTGGCTCGCAACTTGGCGTGTCTAAATCCGCCGCTTTTACTGGACGAGAATTGCAGCGACAACCTGGGGAAGTCTCGCTTTTGCAGCTCAGTCACCACGTCTAGATCGGGATCTGCTGATACCGGAGTGATCGGAAGGGGTCTCGGGAGTTGACTAATTTGTATCAAAGTTTTGTATACCGTGTTCTGGATTCCTTGTTTCGGCAACGTGAGCATTTAGCACGAGCATTGGCCTTCAACCATGACCTTTAACTACGAAGTAACGTACACAACTAGTGTAGTTAGTACCGAGCTGTGCCTGGTGTCTGCCTCCTACAGGATGACTGGCCAAATATTGGCCATCGTGGTGAGCCAACGGCGAAGTAGACAAATGGCCAAAAAGGGCAAAAAAGATAAGGTCCATGTCAGGAAGCCCTCACTTTTGGGCCAACAACCTCAGGCAAGCTCTTGGTTTATGGCCTTTGGGTGCCTCTCACCCTCACAACAACCCTAACCCTAAATCAACAGTCTGCCTGATTTCTAGGCCCGTGCACTCCCCCCACCACCAGAACGGCCGGTGTCGCGTAAATTCGGGACTAGTCGCGACATCTGCGAGGCGGGACCTGGCGCGACCGAGGAGGCACTACAGATTTAATTCGTTTTTAAATCCAAGCGCGTTTCCATGCCCATAATCGCGTGGCATTTTGGGGACTTCCGTTTATCGTACTATTCCATTTTTACCGATTGATTCTGAACGCGACGGATCGAGACAAGGCTCCGCGCGAAGGAGCACATCGAAATCATGGGGAAGCTCATTCGTCTCGAGCTCTTCAGTGCGTGCCACAGCTATTCCAATCAATCGTTCTCGTAGTTTTGAAGCTTACATGGGTAATAGACTTCAAGTCCTACAAGGGCCACCATACCCTCTTGTTTGGCGACTCCTATTTCACCTCTATCATCGGTCCAAATGGCTCGGGGAAGTCTAATTCGTGAGTTACGGTTGTTAACTTTGCACACCATATTGTCCGGCTCTAACGCACCTGTCTCTTAGCATGGACGCCATCTCGTTCGTCCTAGGAATCAAGTCCTCACAACTACGATCATCACATCTCCGCGACCTAGTCTACCGTGGGAGGGTAATGAAAACGTCCAAAATCCAGGATGACGGAACCGCGGCACCGGCAACCAACGGACAAGTCAACGGGCACCAGGATGGCGATGACGAGGATTCCTCACAACGGGCGTCGAGGAACGACCCCAAAACGGCATGGGTGATGGCGGTCTACGAGGACGACGCGGGGGACGAGCAACGGTGGAAACGGAGCATCACTAGCAACGGCACTAGCGAATACCGTATCAACGACCGCGCTGTTACCGCCCAACAGTACAATAACGCCCTCGAGGAGGAGAACATCCTAATCAAGGCGCGGAATTTTCTGGTCTTCCAAGGAGACGTCGAGGCCATCGCGTCCCAGTCCCCCCAGGACCTAACGCGCTTAATCGAGCAGATCTCGGGGAGCCTCGAGTACAAAGCGGAATACGAGAAGCTCCAAGCGGACGCCGAGCAGGCTGCAGAGAACCAAAACTTCCAGCTTCACAGGAGGCGAGGCATCAACTCGGAAATCAAGCAATACCAGGAGCAGAAAAAGGAGGCAGAAAACTTCCAAAAGAAGACGGAGGAACGGGACGAGGCCGTCATCACCCATATCCTGTGGAAGTTGTACCATTTCCAACGCGTCATGGACGAGTCCAGCGCCCAGATCCAGGAACACCACGAGAACCTGAAGGAGTTTCGTCGCAACGTGGAAACCTTTGAGAAGAAACTCGAGACAGCGCGCAAGGAGCAGGCCACCGTTGGCCGCGAGGTCAGCAAGATTGAGAAGAGCATCAAGAACAAGGAGAAGAGCATCGAAGACCGTGACAACAGCCTTGTTCCGATCGACGAGAAGATCACACAAAGCTCGCAGGACATGACAGTTTTGCGGAAACGGATCTCTGATGTCAAGAAGGACCGTGACGAGAAGGCGACAAACATCCAGAAGCTGAAGAAGGACCTGGCAACGGTCGAGAAAGCGCACCAGCAATTCGAGAAGCAATGGTCCGAAACGCTGAAGAAGCAGGGCAAGGAGCTGAGTGACGCAGACCGCAAGGAGTACACCACACTGCAGGCCGAGGCTATGAGGAAGACGTCGGATAACCGCGCAAAACTGGCCAACCTCGAACGACAACTAAAAGGCGATGAAGTAACGGTAAATAGTCTCAAGGGCAAGATCGACAACTTTGAGGCCGCCGCCGAGAAGCTGCAGAGCGAGGTCCAAGTGATTAAGGATCGCCGCAATGGCAGCCAGGACTCGGTTCGCCAAATAACCAGTGACATTGATGCGAAGAAGAAGGAGTTCAACAGCGTTCAGTCTGAGCGTATTAGAATTAACAACACTCACACCGAGCTGGAAGAGAAACTTCGTGATGTACTCAGGAAACTCGACGATGCCGACATGGGGCGACGACAAAACGAGAAGGAGACCAGGATGAGGAACATGATTAGCGATCTGAAGCGTATCTACCCGGGAGTGCGCGGCCGAGTGGGCGAGTTGTGTAAGCCCAAACAAAAGAAATTCGACGAGGCCGTCATCACTGCGCTGGGCCGCGACTTTGACGCAGTTGTGGTGGACTCGGAGAAGACCGGCATGGACTGCGTGCAGTACCTCAAAGACCAGCGGTTTCCCCCAGTCACTTTCATTCCGCTCGACAACATCAAAGTCAACACTTCCAACTCTGCGATCAAGGGGATCATGGGGGCACGGCTAACCATCGACACGATCGATTTCGACCCATCTTTGGAGCGGGCCATCGCCTATGCCTGCGGCGGTTCCGTGGTCTGCGACACTCTGGAGGTCGCCAAGGATATCGTGTACGGCAGAAAGATCCAGGTCAAGGCGGTGACCGTACAAGGCTACGTAATTCACAAGGGTGGCACCATGTCTGGTGGCCGGCTGCCAGAGGATAAGGGTGGGAAACGACGATTCGAGGAGCATGACGTCCAGAATCTGCAGCGGTTGGCCGAGAAGTTCCGGGACGAGATTGCCAAGTTGCCCAGGCCAGGGAGACGAGGCGCCGCGGAAGAAAGCCTGCAAATCGAGATTGGTGCGCTCGAGCAGCGCCTCCTACTTCAACAGAGCGAACTGGCTGCGTTTGAGAAGAACCTCAAGAGCAAACAAAAGGAGCTCGATCACGCAAAGCGGGAGCTCCGCGATTACCAGCCCAAGTACGCCGACAAGGAGGGCGAACTGCAGAGGACACGGGCTACCGTCGAGAAATTTGAGAAGGCCATCTCAGATGTCGAGGACAAGATATTCAGCTCCTTCTGCAAGCGTCTGGGGTACGAAACGATCCGCGCCTACGAAGCCCAACAGGGGAGCCTCGAGCAGGAGGCGGCACAGAAGCGCCAGGACTTTGACCTGCAGAAACAGCGGATCCAGAACAACCTGTCTTGGGAGACGTCACAGCATGACGGGGCCAACGAGCGGGTGCGGACCATGGAGACAACCCTGAAGAGGCACCAAAAAGACCTCGGGGCTTTCCAGCAGGAGAAGGAAGACATCGAGGAAGCCAAGGCACAAGACCAGGACGAGCTCGAGGCGCTTCAAGAGTCTGTAGAGGAGGTCAAGGCTAGCCACGCCGAGAAGTCCAAAAAGGTGGCCGATGCAAAACTGGATTTGCAGAAGAAGACCAAGGAGATTGAGTCAAGGTTAAAGGAGATTAGCAACCTCGAAGGCACGGTGCAGAAGAATAGCGCCCAGAAATTCGCCTTGCTGCGGCGCTGCAAGCTAGAGCAGATCCAGCTACCGATGAGCGAGGGTTCGCTCGACAACATTCCCAACGAGGATGTGCTGCTCCGCAAGGACCATGACGCTATGGATGTCGACGGCGAAGCGGATGAAGACGAGGTGCTCGAGGCCGCCATGGACGACTACGGTATCGAGATCGACTTTGACGGTCTAGACGAAGATCTCAAGAATGTATGTCTCTCTATCCCTTTCTTCCCCCACCATCCAAACAGCAGCCAACCATGCTAACTAACAAACCCCCCCACCCCAGCCCGACGACGACCTCGAAGACAAGCTCCAAGACAAGATCACCTCGCTCACCACCGAACTCGAGAAGCTCAACCCCAACATGCGCGCCATGGAGCGCCTCGAATCCGTCAAATCACGCCTCGAGTCCACAGAACAAGACTTCGAAGACTCACGCGCAGCCCTGCGCTCAGCGCGGGACGCCTTCACGCAGGTCAAAGAAAAGCGCTTCGACCTCTTCAACCGAGCCTTCGCGCACATCCAGGAGCAGATCACCCACGTGTACAAGGACCTGACGCGGTCCGACGCCTACCCGCTCGGCGGGCAGGCCTACCTGGACATCGAAGAGGACACCGACACCCCCTACCTGTCGGGCATCAAGTACCACGCCATGCCGCCGCTCAAGCGCTTCCGCGACATGGAGCACCTCAGCGGCGGCGAGAAGACCATGGCCGCCCTCGCCCTGCTGTTCGCCATCCACAGCTACCAACCCAGCCCCTTCTTCGTGCTGGACGAGGTCGATGCCGCGCTGGATAATGCGAACGTCGAGAAGATCAAGAAGTATATCCGCGAGCATGCCGGGCCCGGCATGCAGTTTATTGTTATTAGTCTGAAGCCGACGCTGTTTCAGGACAGTGAGAGCTTGGTGGGCGTCTATCGCGATCAGGAGGTGAATAGCTCGAGGGCGTTGACGTTGGATGTAAGTGTCTTCCCCCCGCCCCCCTCCCTTCCCTTCCGTCTCCTGGCCATGCGGTCGTGGTGTGTTGCGGGCTTGCTAACTGGTGTGATGCAGCTGCGGAACTATGTATGATGGAAACGTGCTGGGGAAGGGCGGTAAATGGTGGTTGTTGCGAAGGGGGGTGGGGTTTGGAGCTAAGGAAAGTGGGTGCGAGGGGGTTATTTGTAGGCAGGTAGCAGTTGTTTTCTTCCTTCAGGGACGGGGGTTGACATGGCGAATATGGACTGGTTACGGTTTATTAAGCTCTATTTTATTATTCTATCCCAACGAGCGGTTTTTTTGCCGCCCTTTAACCCCAGAAGTGTTTGGGGTTTCCATGTGTGACAAGACCAGCAGCCCTTGAGCACCCGAAATATTTGGGACTGCCATGGATAATAAGGCCAACCATCACGTATATACAAAGTTTCTTCTCCTTACCAGATAACATCGTTCCGCTTTGTATGTTGAGCCGTGGCGTTCTGCCATACTTTTTGCCCGTTCACTTCTTCTCCGGGTATTTCCATCCCCTTTAATATCCTTCTTTCACAGACCAAAGCTCAATGCGGTGTGGTTGGCGCACACAGCTCAATGGTTAAAACCCCGTCGCAGTCCCAGTCCCAGTTGCAGTTGCATGCACTGCCGAAGATAACGGACAAGCCACGCCGTGGGCCAAAGGTATCACCCTGCTGTGCCCGGCGTTGGTTTGCTGAAATGGACCCAAGTCGTTTCGACTTCTTGCTTTGTCTTTTTTATTTTTCGAACCCCCTCCTTCTCGCCTTGTCCTTGTTCGTTGTTGTTGTGGTCTCCCCGCGCTCAACACTCAACTCAACGCTCAGACAACATCCTCAAATTCAAAATCTGATTCCTCCTCATCCTCCATCTTGATGCCACTCCCGCCGTCAGTCATGTCGCCCGTCTCCAGCTTGACGCGCTTGACCGGCATCATGTCGGTGTCCTGCGGGTCGGCCTCGAACGACGCCACCGCCGAAGTCGGCCCGTTGCTACTGCTGCTGATGCCGTTGGTCGGCACGGAGCTCTCGATCATCCAGGAAGGTAATGCGTTCTCCTTAATCAGGCGCTCCTTGCGGATGCGCTCCTCGTTGCGCTCCTGCTCGTTGTTGTCCGAGATGGTGACCTGCATGGCGCGCGGGCCGACGTTGGCGAGGCCCTTGACGGCTGACGGTTTGCCCATGCCCGCCATGTCGACGGGCACGCTGGGGAGCACCTCGTGGGTCGCGGCGCGCACGATGGGCCGCTTGGTAAGCATGGCCTTGTCGAAGTCGCACTCGGGAACGACGACGCGGTCGACCTGCTGCAGCATGTCGGTCATGAACTTGAATTGGTTGTTCATGCGTGAGAGCTGTTGGTGGCCGGGGGCTTCTTTTTCTTGGGATCGCTCTAGGAAGGCCCCGCACCGCCGGCACGTGAACCGCCCGTCGGCCGATACCGAGTCCAGCACGTCCAGTTGCGTCCACTGGGCTTTGCAGCGGGGGCACGAGTACTCTTTGGACTCGTCCGCCGGTTGCACGCTGCCCTGCATGTCCTTGTCGGACTTGTACACGCGCCACTTGATGGCGTCGATGGTCTGGCGGTAATCGATGTAATAGTGCGTCCGGTTGACCGCGCGCGTCTTGCCATCCTGGGACTCGGGTCGCGTGTGTACGGTCAGGAACCGGGCGTCTCGTAGAGAGGCGCAAAGCCGGTGTAGGTCTTTTAGGTTCATCTTCATGAGGTAGGCGAGTTCGTCATCGCGGAGGGCGGAATGCGTCACCAGCGCCTCGACCACCAATATTTCCTGGGTGCTGTAGAAGGCGCGCATGACGGCGCGGACGAGTGTCTGGGCGATTTCCATGGTTGCGATATTGATTTCACTTCGATGGCGGAATAGGAGTGCTATGGGGGAAGGGAGTGGTAGTAATGAGAGCGAGTCGTGAAAGAGGAGGAGAGAGGAGGAAGGAGGAAAGAGGAAGGAGAGGGTTCGCGAAATGTGAGGTCACTTTTTCTTTTCGTCTTTCGGTTTTATTTTATTTGGAGCGTTCGATTTTGACGAAGATCACATACCAACGAGAGACTTCTCTTGACTCTTGATGAGCCGGAGTGTGTGTGCTAAGGTAGGTTGAAGAGTGCGAGGAAGACGTGGAAGTGAGACGTCTGTCAAAGAACAGGGGTCTATCAGCCTGGCTTGCCTGGCTGGCTTTGCCAAGAAACAGAGCTGGAAGAGGAAGTGGGCTGAGAAACGGTGGTAGGGGTGGGCACAGAAGGTTCTTTTACTGCGGCCTTATTAGTAAGGCAGCCCAGCCAGCCAGGCGAGCCCTAGGCAGCAAGTGGTGAGAGGCAGTTAGCAGCACGGCCATGCGTGAGGTTATGTATCATATGATAGGGAGGTTAGATATTCAATGGCAATGCAACTAAACTTTGTTATACTTAGCTACCATGCTGATTATTCTCGGATATCTGTGTTCACAGAACTAAAATTGAGTTCATGGTTTGGCGGACACAGTGTTCAGGACAATCTATGTTATTTCCACACAGTGCAGGTGTTCTCCTTCTGCCGTCATTGCAGGCGCCGCCGCATTGTTGCATTTCCTGGTTACCAGAGGTGAAAGCTTCTCCAGGACTTCTCGAATCCGAGAATTTCCCCGCCTTCTTGCGGCTGCATCTATCCGCTTCGAATACCGATGCACGTCACTGAAACCGGTAGGGATGGTGCACACAATGGCCCTGGTGGTTCTTGACTTTTGGCTCTTGCATGATGACCCGCTTCATTGTCGGCCCTCATCCATTAACGGCGTTTTGTCACTCTCGTAGCTTGAAGCTATTGCTCTCAATGCCCAATTTTCAGTTTTGCAGTTTTGCATGGTTTATTTTTGCACCCTTGCTTGATGCGCCCAAATGCCTCATGCTGTGGCCGGTTTCTAAAACACCGCAGCTGAGATAACAAGGTCCAATTTGGCCACTGGGCAATAACCTCGTTGCTCTACTACAAGCGAAACAGGGATTGGGTTTGTGAGTATGGACTCGAATACGCCCTCCCGGAAGAGGTCGGCTAGCCACATGACCCTCAGTTTCCCCATCATATTTCTTCTATCTGCCAACCTCGGATCGAAGGAATTGCAGGACCTCGAGGAACAAATACCCACACTCACCTACGACATCAACGAAGCCGAGGTTATTCTGGGCAAGATATCCCGTAAGGAACGGGCGTTGTTTGAACTCAGAAAACACAGGCTCGTCACCGAGGAAATCGATCCGGCAGAGCGCACCCTGTCTGCAACCCCTGACCGAAAACGAGCCCGGCTGCAGACGCCGGCCCTCGCCAGCTCCGATATCGACTCGGACACGGCATCAGATGGCGAAATCCAGCGGCGCTTGGTAGGGCCGTCCTCTGTCGCGCCCACGGTCAAGGTGGCCAAGCTTACCTGGTTCACCGAGTCGATCAAGGCAGGGGAGGTAGTCCCAATCGACGACTATGTTGTTTATGAAGGCCGCAAGGTGCCAAAGGCGCCCGTGGAAGCACCGCAGCCCGGGCCCGCTGAGAAGGCGGCAGAAATCATGCGGCGCGCTCTTGCGGATGCTGGCGGTAGCCTGTTAAAGAGCCCACGGCCAAGATCATCACAAGCGAGAAGGGGTGAGACCTACGTCAGCCATCCCGTCCGGCCCGCCCTACTCCGGGAGACCACATCCGAGCACGAGATAGAGACGCAACTGCCGCCAATACCAGAATACCTCCACAGCACCTACTCGTGCCAACGACCGACTCGTAACCACCCACCAAACCAGGGGTTCATCGAGGAGCTCACCAAGATCAAGACTGCCCGAACATTGACCGGGGACAGGATAGGGGTGCGGGCGTACTCGAGTGCGATCGCCACCATCGCAGCGTACCCCTACAGTTTCCAAACAGCACAGGGTATGTACCCAATTCCATCTGGATAGAAAGCCCAACCGCTGAGCGCCTCACAGAAGTAGCCAGACTTCCCGGGTGCGGCAGTAAGATTGCCCTTCTTTTCCAGGAGTTCCGCGAAACCGGCCAGATCAGGGAAGCGCGCGAGGACGAGTCAGACCCCAAACTCGCCGTGCTCAAGCTCTTCTACAACATCTGGGGCGTAGCCGAGACCACGGCGCGAGACTTCTACAACCGCGGCTGGCGCGACCTCGACGACATCGTCGAGTACGGGTGGGAGACGCTCACGCGCGTCCAACAAATCGGCGTCAAGTACTACGAGGAGCTCCAGCTCCCCATCCCGCGCGCCGAGGTCGAGTCCATCGCGGGCGTCATACTCGCGCACGCCAACCAGATCCGGCCCGGGTTCGAGATGGTCATCGTGGGCGGCTACCGGCGCGGCAAGACCGCCAGCGGCGACGTCGACGTCGTGCTGAGCCACCGTGACGAGCACGCCACGCACGACCTCGTCGGCCGCCTCGTCGTCGCCCTAGAGCGGGCCCGCTACATCACCCACACCCTCTCGCTCGCCACGACCAACTCGGAGCGCGGCCAGGCGCCCGTCGCGTGGAAGGGGAATGCGTCGCGCGGCGGTGGGAGGGCCGGCACGGGGTTTGATACCCTTGATAAGGCGCTGGTCGTATGGCAGGACCCGGTCTGGGGGACGGGGGAGCCGCGCAACCCCAACCCGCACCGCCGCGTCGATATCATTGTGAGTCCGTGGAAGACGGCTGGTTGCGCGGTGCTGGGGTGGACGAGCGGGACGACGTTTCAGAGGGATCTGAGGCGGTACTGCAAGCGTGAGCGGATGCTCAAGTTTGATAGTAGCGGCGTGCGCAGTCGGCGGGACGGGGCGTGGGTGGATTTGGAGAGTGGCCCGGATGGTAGCCCGGCGCCGGATATGTTGACGGCGGAGCGGAGGGTGCTTGAGGGGTTGGGATTGGAGTGGCGGCCACCTGAGGAAAGATGCACTGGGTGAAGGTGGGGATATGACGGTGTTTGCATGTGCATTAGTTGGAAATATACCCCCGTTTTGGCGATGGTGTAATCGGGGGTCGCATATCGTGATCGTTGATGGTTGGTTCTGATCCGCTGGAAGTGAGACTTGCCGCCTCCAACCGAAGGAGCCGCCCGCTGCCCGCTGCCCGCTGCACGACAGAGTTGCATCCACCATCCATCCCCCAACGACCTTAAATTGACTGCATCACCACTGCCTCACCTTGCCTTACCTTGCCTCACTCATCAAGCCGTGGCGCCGCCGGACTCGGCCTTCGGAAGAGCAATGGAGACTATATTCCGTCAGATTTGGTGCCCGTCGGGTGAATACGCTAACTTTCGGCACTGGCTTCACTTAACCCCCGGACACTTTCTGGTCGGCGTCGGACAGTCTAGGCTCCGTGGTCGCCATCTCATTGGCCAATCTACCCAAAACAGTCCGCTCGGGATCGCTGAAATGGAGCCAGGCGAATGAGTTACGTAGTAATGATTTCCAAGTCGAAACGAACAGAAGACTAAGGCATGATCTGGCTTTTCTATTTGAACTAGTTAAATTTCATCCAAAGAAGACCTCTCATCATCACTACCAAACTCCTCCTTCCTCTCATCATCTTGTGCAAATACAACCTCTCAACAAATACCGAACAAACACCGAACAAAAACTCTACAAAAACTCTCAAACTCAACTTCAAACTCTACTTTATCACCATCACCCACCACCACCTACCGCCAACATGTCCATCACTCTCCCCAGCGACTACGGGTAAGGAACACTACACCTCATGCCCTCATCTCAACCCAAACTAACACGTCCCAGCTACGTCCTCCTAGCCACCACCTCTACCTTCTTCGTCAACATCGTGCACGGTTTCTTGACCAGCAGGACCCGCAAAGCTGCCGGCATCAAGTACCCCACCAGCTATGCCTCGTCTGAGCTGGCTGAGAAGGACCCCCGGGCGTATGCATTCAACTGCGGTACTTAACCCCTTTTCTCTCTTCTCACACTTAAAACATGGGAACACGCTCTAACCAAAGGGAAAATAGCCCAACGCGCCCACAACAACTTCACCGAGAACCTGACCCCCTTCCTTGGTGCCCTCCTCGTTGCGGGCCTCAAGTACCCCGTATTCGCCGCCAGCCTCGGTGGCGCCTGGTCCTTCGCCCGCGTGCTGTTTGCCATCGGCTACACCTCTAACGGTCCCCAGGGCAGGATTGTGTAAGTTTTTTTTTTTTTTTTTCTTTCTGGGAATCGTGGTTTACCTTTGCTAACCTATTCTCTAGTGGCTCGGCGCTTGGGTCGTTGATCAACGTCACGCTGATCGGTACATCTGTGTACACTGCTCTAGGCTTTGCCCTCAACTGGTAGAGAGTGATGGTAGATTGGAGGGGGGAGCGTTCTGGCTTTGGCGATGTACAGATATGACGGCTGCGAATTATTAGACTGTTAACTTCATACCCAAAAGTTATCAAACGTTTCATTCTATCTATGCGCCGCTATGGCTACAACTCCTCTCTTTTGAGGACATAAATGTATGTCCCATCACTGACTAAACAACCGACCAACCAACTTACCCACCCCAATCAATCACTACCCTTTTCCACCAAAGCAGCATCACCAAAATCTCCCACCCGACACACCACCGCATCAGAAATCCACCGCCCATCGCTACCACACACGCTGTCATTCCCGCTCCCACTACCCGTCACTCCAACGCTAGTCAAAATCACCCCACAGCTTTCAGCCGCTTTCACTCAAGTTCCATCACGATATGGAAAATACCTCTTTCTCGATCACCAACGAGTAATCCATCGTCATGCCCGACGACAGCATTTGTACACCCACCTAGGTTGTATAAACCCCGGGCCCTGTTCAAGTCCTCTAATGGGTTTAACCCTGGGGTTTGGCTTACACACGTGAGCCGGCGGTTAGCCTGCCATCGACTCGTCGCCTTCAGGAGAGCTATGCATCAAGCTTCCTCTGCACCTTTCATCTACTATTTTCGCCGTGGCTCTCCCTGACGGCGACGAATTGGATAGAACTATCAACCGCCTCGTCGAAAACGCTGACGATGGAACCAACCACCCTCATCCTCCACCTTCCCCTGTTGCACCTTCCATCCGCTACTTTCGCCACGACGGTACGCAACGGTGACGGGATTGATGCGGCTCTTGACTGCACTGCCGCATGGGTTCTCCCACCAGCTACATACGCATAATTTTGGTATGCATGGAACAATTAATTACACTAGCATACCAGACAGCGAGAGACCGGCAGGTATATCCCAAAGCGGTGCAAATCCGGTATGTCCTTTGACCTATCTTAGGCGTATATAGCCCTCTCCCTTAACTCCATCGTGGATCTTACCAACGGGAGCGGTAAGGGCGGACTCGGTATTGTGAATTTTAATGTAGAAGTAATCCGTGGTCAGATACTCCTGGGCTATGCGCGACGGCGTAGTGGGTGTTGAGCCCCGTGGTGTGCGAGGCCGCACTCGAAAGGCCTGTCGAAGACCTCGGCCGAACACATCCTCGGTGAGCTACTTCGCGAACTGCTGGAGGTGGACATAAGATCTCAAGGAGCCGACGTACGGATGTACGCCACGGATCTCGCTAACACCCGTTGCCTGATTCGTGGACTGGCGGTCACCAGGGACCGCCCCTTAAGCAGGTCAAAAGGGGTCACAGATAGCCACAGCTAGGAAAGACAAATCTGGCCACATCTTATGATTCACATGCCGGTGTCAACGAGTGCTGCCTCAAAGTAGTGTCAGTAAGAATTACAGTCTGACGGTTACGGATAATCGTCGAGTTGTAACAATTAGGCCCCAAGCTCGACAGATGAGAAGAACGCATAGACGGGCTGTCCAAAACCGGAGCTTGAGCCGGACGGTATCTAGTATCATACAGTGTAGGCCATGACGGTTCGTCTGTAGCTGTGTCTGTTTCCGTTCCTGAGGACAACTTAAATGGTCATCTCCCTTATCGAAACTGGCCGGTGGTATACACATGAAGGAGGTAGTACGGATGGTGCCAACCAAAAGCCAAGCTCCGGCATCGAGCCACAAAGTGAACGTGGGGTTAGCCTGTGCCGGAAAAGCGAGTTGGAGTGCGGAATACAGGAGGTACGCTAGTTTTCCATTAAGGGAGTTGGTTGGTAAATGAAAATAACACATCCATATAGCAGCCAGCAGGTTCAACGTAAAACAAGGCTGTCATCATAAATACTACGTGGCCAGATAATGTTTAGTGAACCATAAAGTAAAGTATTAGTGAAAAAAATCGCATTTTCCGCCCATTTGTTCATGGTTCACATTCTCGTGAAGCTCATGAATTGGTGTTGAGTAGTTGGGAGTGGGGGGATTGTGGGGCTTGTGGATCAATTCCAGGCTTCGCCAAGGCCTACCTGTTCAGCCACAGCACGCGCCACGAGGCGAGGAAGGACCTGGACCTGGAACTTGTCCTTTTCAGTGAGGGGACAACAATCCGGCGCCCGAAGCTAGGTTGCGGAAGCGAAGCGGCGCACGAACTTCACCACCATATCCCGCCATTCGAGCGACTCTCTTCTGGACAGCAGTCAGTGAAGCTGCGGTTGAGCTTGATTGGCATCCTAATTTGAGGTTACCGACAAATAACGAGCGTCTGGTGCTAGAGTCTGTCTCTGGTATTCGTACTTTCCAGGTTGGTCGGTTTCGCAAGGTGCGCCGCCACTTTGAGTTCAACATTCCGGATCGGCGCTGATGACAGCTTGCATATAGTCCACCAGCCACATCTCCGTTCCTCGCCTCTTCGACTTCTTCAAGACCTTCGCATAACCGTGATCCAGAGATCAACTACCCGAGACTGCGTCGACGTCATCCCTCACAATGGACTACGACAGTATGAAGGAGCAGTGGGGTGAGGTCGAGGATCGGGATGGAGTCCGCCTGAGCTGGAACGTCTTCCCAAGCACTCGCATGGTTAGTCCCGCCGATCCCATGATATAGCGATACCTCTTTTCTCGGAAACTGATGCATTTCTAGGAAGCGTCGAGACTGGTCGTTCCCATTGGCGCCCTGTACACCCCTCTGAAGGAGAAGCCCGACACGCCCTTGTTGCAATTCGAGCCCGTCACCTGCAAGCAGCCCTGCCGCTCGGTCCTGAACCCCTTTTGGTAGGCATATCCCCTGCCCAATATCACCGGGGCGATGGTGCTGACAACCCCCACAGCCAAGTCGATGTGCGCGCTCGCCTTTGGATCTGCCCTTTCTGCCTCTCGAGGAACCCGCTTCCGCCGCACTATAAGGATATCACAGCCCAGGCCATCCCTCCTGAGCTGCACCCCTCCAACACGACCATCGAGTACAGGCTGTCGCGACCGGCTCCGAGCCCGCCCATCTTCCTCTATGTCGTGGATACGTGTCAGGAGGAGGACAGCTTGGCTGCCCTGAAGGAGTCGCTCATCATGAGCCTCAGTCTCCTGCCCGAGAATGCGCTGGTCGGGCTGATCACCTACGGAACTATGGCACAGGTACACGAGATTGGCTACACCGAGTGTGCCAAGTCGTACGTTTTCCGGGGCAGCAAAGAATACGCTGCCAAGCAGGTTCAGGAGATGCTGGGTCTCATACAGCCCGCCATGCGCCCGGGTATGCCCGCGCATCAGCCAGGCAGGCCTATGCCGATGGGACCCGCCTCTCGGTTCCTGCTCCCAGTTACCCAGGCCGAGTTCCAGCTCACCAAGGCGCTCGAGCAGCTACAACAGGACCCTTGGCCCATCTCCAGCGACCGCAGAAACCTGCGCTGCACAGGCGTTGCTCTTTCCGTCGCCGTTGGCCTACTCGAGACCTCGTTCCAGAACGCCGGCGGCCGCATCATGCTCTTCGCCGGCGGTCCCGCCACCGAAGGGCCCGGTATGGTTGTCGGCCCCGAGTTGAGGGAGCCAATCCGATCGCATCACGACATTGACCGTGATAACGTCAAGTATTACAAGAAGGCGCTCAAGGTATGTGTGCAATCATGCTGGAACCGAAACTGGAGCACGGAAGTGACTAACACGACGACAGTTTTACGATAATCTCGCCAAGAGGACCGCCCACAATGGCCACACAATCGACATCTTCGCCGGCTGTCTCGACCAAGTCGGTCTTCTGGAGATGAAGGGTCTCTGTAACTCAACCGGAGGCCACATGATCCTGACGGACAGCTTCACTTCGTCCATGTTCAAGCAATCCTTCATCCGTGTTTTCGAGAAGGATGGCGATGACAATTTATTGATGGGCTTCAACGCTGTTCTTGAGGTGCTCACCACCAAGGAACTCAAGGTCACCGGTCTCATCGGCCACGCAGTGTCCCTCAACAAGAAATCGACCTCAGTGGGCGAGACAGAATGCGGTATCGGCAATACCTGCTCCTGGAAGATGTGTGGTATCGACCCCAAGGCTAGCTACGGCGTCTACTTCGAGATTGCCCAGGGCGGCCCCTCACAACACCAGCAGAACCAAAAGGGTATGATCCAATTCCTGACATACTATCAACACTCGTCCGGCCAGTTCCATCTCCGCGTCACCACAATTGCGCGGGACCTTAGTGGGCCGGCTGGCGACCCAGCAATCGCCCATTCATTCGACCAAGAAGCAGCTGCCGTTCTCATGTCCAGGATCGCTGTCTTCAAGGCCGAGGTTGACGATGGGCCGGATGTGCTTCGCTGGGTTGATAGGATGCTCATCAGGCTCTGCTCGAGGTTTGCGGATTACCGCAAGGACGATCCGTCATCCTTCCGCCTGGAAAAGAACTTCACATTATACCCGCAGTTCATGTTCCACCTGCGGAGGAGTCAGTTCTTGCAAGTTTTCAACAACTCGCCAGACGAGACCGCCTTCTACAGGCACGTGCTCGACCACGAAGATGTCAGCAACTCCCTGGTCATGATTCAACCCACACTCGACTCCTACACCTTTGATCAGGAGGGTGGGCAGCCGGTGCTCTTGGACTCTTCCTCTATCCAGCCAACCCACATCCTCCTTCTCGACACCTTTTTCCACATCCTTATCTTCCACGGCGAGACCGTTGCCGAATGGCGGAAGGCAGGCTACCAGGACCAAGAGGGATACGAGAACTTTGCCTCTCTCCTGGAGCAGCCAAAGGAAGATGCCAGGGTATGTTCTCGCCCATTGACTTGATTTAACCAAAGAATTTGTTACTGACAATATCGCCTAGGATCTCATCACCGACCGCTTCCCCCTTCCCCGTTTCATCGTCTGCGACCACGGCGGCTCGCAGGCACGTTTCCTGCTCTCCAAGCTCAACCCGTCCACCACACATACCTCGGGTGCCGGGGCCTACGGCGGCGTTGGAGCGCAGAGCGCACAGACCATTTTCACAGACGATGTGTCCTTGCAAACATTTATGGAGCATCTCATGAAACTGGCTGTTAGTGGCACGAACTAGATGCCCTGGGTCTGGATGTGACGGGGGGTTATGAAAAAGGGAATGATGGGATGCGAATGAGTGTGGTGGGTGGTTGAGGGCGTGTTTAGAGAAGATTCTGTGTGACTATTCAGCGTCAGTGTTATATGTCAAAACCGATATTACCAAAGAATAAACGGCTTCCCCGAAATGTCGTTGCCTTCCATTCTATGAACGTGACCGGACTCTGAGCATGTTCATGGCACAGGGGGGATCCTCGGTCAACAACTTGGCGAGAAGCCAAGATCCTGCAACGGTGTGGCTAGAGGTGTTCCCCTCCAATCACACTGTGGCTGCCCCTCCAGCCGCCCCGCTTGTTCAAAAAATTCCAGCCACACACTCCAAAATCTTAGGGCAGCCAGGGAAAACCCACAACTGCGATTTTTTTGATTTCGCTGTCTTGATACGGCTGCCACCCTTTGAACACCACCAACAAGTCCACTTCTTCTCATAACCGGCCGTCACCATGCGTAAGTCATTGCCCGCTGGCCGTTATTTCTGGAATTGTCTGGATTGCTAATTTGCGCAATTGTGCAGCTCCCAAGGTCGACCCCAACGAGATCAAGATCATGTAAGCTCCAATGGCTTCAGAGCTCCCGATCATGCCCATTCGCGAACGCGTTTCTCCCGACAGAAAAGACGAGAACGACCAGGAAACTGACAATGGTACCCTCGCAGCCACCTCCGGGCAACCGGTGGTGAGGTCGGTGCTTCTTCGGCTCTCGCCCCCAAGATCGGTCCCCTCGGTCTCTCGCCCAAGAAGGTGGGCGAAGACATCGCAAAGGCCACTGGTGACTGGGTATGAATACCCCTCCGCAACCCCCGAAAACGAGCTTGGAAAGAATTACGGATTTTCTGACGATGGCGATTTTCGCACGACAATGTACAGAAGGGTCTCCGCGTGACCGTCAAGTTGACGATCCAGAACCGTCAAGCCGCCGTCTCGGTGGTTCCCACAGCGTCGTCCCTCATCATCCGGGCGCTCAAGGAGCCCCCCCGTGACCGGAAGAAGGAGAAGAACATCAAGCACAACAAGTCGGTTTCCCTCGATGAGATCATCGAGATTGCGAGGACGATGAAGTTCAAGTCGTTCTCCAAGGACCTGAAGGGGTGTGTCAAGGAGATTCTGGGTACCGCTTTCAGCGTCGGCTGCCAGGTAGATGGCAAGAGCCCGAAGGCCATCAGCGACGCCATTGAGGAGGGCGAGATCGACAGTATGTTTTCCCCGTTCCTCTACGCCTGCTTCTCATTTGGGACACGAGGGCGCCTTATTGGGTGGTGGTTGTCTGTCGAAGGGAAAACGATTCGCTAACTATGTTGCAGTTCCTGAGGAATAAACTCGTCATCAATGAAGGTCGGTTTTGGGATTCTTGGCATGTGTTTAGGAGTTCAGGGCTTGCTTTCGACCAGGCTTGCCAACAACGGCAATACAAATCAAAAGAACGATTTCATGGCCGAGTGTGGGTGTTCTGTCAAAACTCGGCTCCTGGCTGCGTGGATCGAAGGTTTTGCTGCAGATTCTAACGCGATACGGTATCCGATCCATACATCAACCCCCCTCCCCACCCCATCCCCCAAGAAACTCCAACCGAGTTGCCCCTGGCTGTTCACTCCGGAAACGACCTGCTCTCCCATGGTCCTTTCGGCTCTTTGTGCGCAGGGAGATCAAAGTCTGGCGTCCGATTACTCACCACGGCTTTCGTTGGCACTTTGTGCTATGGAAGTTGAGGTCCATATTTCAGGTCGACATTTCCCTTTTCCCCGAACCGCCGTTGGCTGCTGTGCGACAGCCCTGCCATGGTTTTGGATCGCGGATCGGGCTGCTCAAGCCTCCCGAGCTACCCACCATAGGCGGATAGGGCTGGGACGCATGATCTGTGTTTCCGAATGTTCCCAGCGGCGATCCCGCCTTGTCATGTGTCTTCGGTCTTGTCCCAGTTGCGCACCACAGCCGGTTTCCCAAACCCAGATAACCCGATGCGTTCAGTTTTTTTGTGGTTTTTGGCCTTGCTGAAGAGGTCCCGCGAAGCTAAGAGGTATTTTCGTCGCTGGATTCCCCGGTTGTGTTCGTATGTCGTCCTCGTACAACACAGCAACGTATGTCTCGGGTCTCATCCAGTGGCACAGCTTGCGGCAGCAAGAGACCGAGGCGGCCAAGTAAGGCATGTGTAGAGAACACAAGGCCAATGCAGTGGAAACTCGAAATCCGCCTTCCCGAGAGGCCACTCCCTGCTGCTACTGCTGCTCGCCTCGTTCTCCCGGGCTTATTTAAACACAATTTACGATATTACTTCTTTTAGAACGGCGACGTGCATTGTATGTATGTATGTATGTGTGTGTGTGTGCCCATGTAACCAACTGCAGCCACCTGCATAGGTAGGTTTGGTAAAACTCAGGCAGTTATGTATGGTCATGACTGTGTTGGTATGAAGTTACCGCCTCGCCTGCCGAGGAGGACTGGCGGGCTGGCGGGCTGACTGGCTTCCATGGTTGGGCGCATGAATGACGCGGGTTGGCGCAGTGGTTGATCGCCCTCGCTTGTGGTGCTGGACCGCCCGTTGCTGCATCCTGGGGGGGGGGGGGGTATGAGAGTGAGAGTGAGAGCGAGAGTGAGACGGGGGAAAGGGGCATGGATTGGAACCTCTGGAGCTGGAGCGTACGCAATGCTTCTACCAATACTGTGTATGTCGGCGGTTAGTTATTCGGAGGGGGTTTCCTGCCTCGGAATAAGAGAGTTTTTTGGTTGATGAACGAGGGGGTAGTGAGTTAGTTGTGTTTCAACTTTGTGCTGGGGTTGTTGGTTCTCCGATGCGTACGTTCGTCCGTCGCGGCTACCTCTCCCAGAGTCACACCTCCTCTTTTTTCTCCTATTTTCTTTTTTTGGCCCTGTCTTGATTGACATCACATCACCTTGGTTGGCCGAGCACATGTGCTGAAGTTCGGTTTGACTCGGATCGCCGGTGCTGCTGCAACGTGGAGCGGCTACTCTCTCCTAACGGCGGTGGTTTTTGGTGCCCGTTGCGCCCGTCGTGTGCCCGTTGCTCGGGGGGTTTGGAGATCGTTGTCAGTTTGGTCGCTCGGCACGCCATGTGCCAGACGGCCGCAGATCGCTTGCTGACTACGAAGGGGGTTGCTCGTGTTCACGCCAGGGAGCTTGTTTTTCTTTTCTATTCTTTTTCTTTTTGCGAGGGGGGCAATACATAGGGGCGTTAGGGAAGTGATGAGAGAACGGTCGCGGGTAATGAGGACACATGGCATCATCTTGAAGCGTCGACGAATGTCGAATCAACGTGTCCAACGAACTTGGTCTCCCGCCAGAGCCCTTTCATCCTTGGAACTTTTCTTGGTGTCTTGGCTGCCGCTTGGGCTGCGGCGTCACGGCGTTGCAGCCGTTTGCGTCCCCACACCATCCCTTCCCGCAGCAGGGGTAGTTGCTGGGATTCATTTGATGTTTAGAGGGGACGGAGGGGGGTGGTTGTCGCAACCCCCGGAGTCAGTTTCACGGGTGTCGATGGGCTTGGAGGGGATAGACGCCGGAATGACAGCTGTCGTGTGTTCCATTTCGTGTATAACATGCCATCTCTTTTCTTCCTTTTCTTCTTTTCTTTTGGCCCCATTTCGTCACAGCCAACGCGGCTCGGGATGGGGTTCTGCAAGGGAGGAAGGAGATTGGGGAAAAGCGGGAAGGAGAGGCAACGCAAGCAGCCAAAGCAAAGCAAGCGGACAGCCGAGTGGGACCCCATCTCATGCCGGCCAGCCGTTCAGGTCGGCCTGTGGCCAAGGGGGGGCAAGCGGCGTGCCGGCCCTACCGGTCGGTCCACTCCCAACGTCCCCCCAAGAAAACAAAGTGATTGCTCACTCGGCCTGCCGTTCCTTGTCCCCCCATAGGGTACGTCTGGCTGGCGCGGGCTGGCTGGCGCGGGCTGGCTGGCTGCATGGCCTGGCTGTCACGCTTCGGGCCAAAAGAAGTGTGACTTGGAGCTTGCGAGGCATGAGAGGCTGGCCGAGCGAAGGTGGCTTCAGCCACTGGGCGTGCTGATCTGACAATCCGCGGGGCGACTGGTCAGGCTTGCTGGTGTGCGCATGCATGTTTCTGATCGGCCAGCTGCGGGAGGGTTAGCCGTGGGTTCAAGAGATAGCCTGCCGGTGATCTGCTCATGCAACAGGGCATGACTGTTCCTGTTATGGGTTAAGTCGGTTGTGGAAGGGAGCAATCGACTGTTTTGTCTGTCCAAAAGATGAGGGATCAGTTGTTGAGAGAGAGAGAACAAGTTAGAGAACATTCGAACGACCAGCGTACGAGATGTGTCTGATTATTGGGGGTTGCCTGGGTGTTAAAACTCATGCGTAAATTGCTCCCCATGTTCCCCGAGGAGGAACAGATCTGCTGTGCTGCATGTCTGACTGCCTATCTGACTGTGACCCTTGCGGTGCCATTGGGGGGTGGAGGGGGGCCCTCTTGGCCGGCGGCAGCCACACGCTGTGCAGCACTGCGACACACACACACACACACCGCCCGCAAAACACCACGCCCAAAGCCCGTTATGATCTGCCTCGCCGTGTCGCACAACTGGCGCGGCAGAAAGCGAAGAAGGTATCCGAGGCTGCGGTCTCCTCTGTCCTGCTCGCGCTCTGCCTATCACATCTGACTTGTAACGGGGGGCAGGGTTGAGAATCAGGTTTAAAAGATGGATTGGTGGTACCGATATTAATGAAAGGAAGCACACCCCAGGATGCAACCCATGCTCGAGAGGGTGACATGGCGTTGCCCAACACACTTTAACTGGAGATGGTTGACACCCACCAAGATTGGTGTTAGGCGCAAGGCCCGCTGTGATTGTTCGGCCGGTAGCCAGGTGGTGCTGCATGGTGCTGCAGCATGGGCCCTAGCGCCCCCACGGGTCTGGGTTCGGTATGGAGGGGGCGTCCCGTATAAAACACACGCATGCCCTGTGCCTGCCCTGCACGGCCCGGGCAAGCCCGCAGCCTGTCGTGCACCGCCTGGCTTTCGACTGGCGCTGTTCCACTTTTGAACCTCTTGGGACGCCCCGTCTTGTTGTGTTTGAGCTAGGCATGGTGGATATCGACGTCAACATCAGAAATTCCAGTAAACTCGGAATCAGAAATCGAAAGAGTCGGAGAGAAGAATTCAGGAGGAAAGGGGCCCCGGGCTATAATTGGGTGCATCACATTTTGCCCCTTCCCGATTTCTTCCCAGGCGCGCCCCGATCGGCAGCGACTTGCAAGTTCCCCGCCCTTTACTGCACCCCTCCTTCCCGACCTACCTCTTCGACCAGTTTCAACAACACAAACTCCACTCCCAACCCCGCCGGATCTTCTCAGCTTTAAAAGAAAACAAACCGGTGGAATCGACCTAAGGTGGAGCTGAGGTGTTGGTTGTTGTTGCCATCGACAGCGACCAAGCGGGGCCTTTTCTCTTTGCGAACTTCAACGATTGCGACCATTTCCAGCACGAATCAGACTCTCGAGAGCCGACACGCGTGTTGCGTGCTACATGGTTTAGGGGGTACCGGGCGGCATTGGTTGGGACAACGCCCTACTTTGTTTTCTGGCCTTTGCCCAGATGGAGTGCTGGTACCTTCAAGGCTGAGGGCTCGATCATGACATCGTACTCGTCGCCACAAACACAACAATAACCGTCAGTACCACGAAACAGACCTACCTACACTGACTCGAACCGGCAGCATAAGGCGATGACGAAACCTGCCTAACCTCACATCCGGTTGCGAATCACATACTGTCGCTCCTTAGTTTGATTTTCGATTCACCATTCCATCCCTCGGTTCTTTTCTTTCAACAAACATCCAATTCGACGACTTGATGAACATTTCACCATGTTACCTCTAGTACAGATGCACCAGATGGTGCAACCCCCGCTCGACTTTTTAGGGCCTCATCACCATCATGGCCACCCAAAGCCAGACCATCCGTCACATCACGGATCCTATTTTACACACCAATCACAGTCTACCCATCCGCACAACTCAACACCGCGAGCATTCGCCATCCGCAGCGCCCAACATGCCCCGGCCTTGCACCGCATCACGACCAGCTTCACGAGGTTGCACGGGCACGACCAGGCTGAGCACTCTCTTCGGCGGAAGACCCCCAGTGGAACTATCGACAACGGGTACGATGGGTCATTAACTCACTTAGCTTCTGGTCCCCCGCCTCTAAAGCACATGATCGTGCCTGCTTCGTCCAAGATTTTCCCAACTGCCGTCGTTCATCGAGCGCCTAACCAACCCATTGGTATGCTACAACAGCCTCCAGCGGGTCTGGGCCCTTGGGGGTATTCAGCACCTATGCCTGCCGCCAACTTTGATCCTGGGATAGGAACCATGAACGGCCTCTCCGGAACTCCGAGCGGGTGGGGGTTGAAAACGCCGAATCCAGCGTTGGATCCAGGCATGGGAGACCAGCTCAACTTTCTTCAGCCCATTTCCCAGCATAACCAACACGGCGCACTCAACTTGCAACAACAGCTCTTTGGCCCGGGGTATCAACAATCACTGTCGCAAACGGTCTACAGCCCTGGAAGCTTCCAGCAGCCTGCGGTATGGAGGGATGGAAACTTTGGCTACCAGACAATGATTCCACTTGCAAATAACTACACGCCGCAAAATTCGGTTGACAGTGCATTCATGGGCGCTCAATCCACAATACACCACGGCCTGCTCAATGCCCCGGGACTAGGGCAACCAAACCATTTTGGCCTACCCCTGCCGAGTCAGCCTCTCGACGATGGCTTTGCTCGCTATGGGGCTAACCACATGGCGCACTATGCTGCCAACCCTGGACGGAATTCCATGCCGATGATGTCTGGTGCAGGGCACTTCGCCAAAGGGGTCAGCGCCGGGGAACCAGGATCACCAACCCAGATTCAAGGAAAGGGCGCTTCAAAAGTGCGCATAAAGGCCTATAATGACCTGCTGCTCCATCTAACCCACGCCAAAAAGGCGCACCCATGAGACGCAACGGCTCCATCTCTAGGCCATCTTTCGAAGATTATGGTATACCCGAAACCCTCTACCAGCAGCAGCAACAGCAGCAGTAGCAGCGAAAACAAGTAACAGCCGTCGTCCGCCTTTGCGGATCCAGCAGGGGGTTACATGCAGCAAATGGTCCAGAAGGAGGTGGCTGCACGGATATTTACCCACAACCACCAGCAGCGCGGATATCATGAGATGGGCTCGCCTGTCCTCAACGCTAGGGCTTCACTCGACATGCTCTCTACACTTTGTGAGCAAAGCGGTTGGAAGTGGGTTGAGGGCATGCTCCTGGGAGGATGTCTTCACTATGGCCTGGAGCGCTATGAAGAGGCCCTGGAGTGGTTCAAGCGGGTTGTGAACCTAGACCCAAGGTAGTTTAACGTTCCCCACCGCCTGATGATACGTACAGGACACTAACTCCTTTACCAGCCATGTGGAAGCGATCTCTAACATAGCCGCGACCCTGTACTGCTTGAATAGGCACGAAGAGGCAGAGCAGCACTGGATTAAAGCTATCAAGCTGCGCCCGAGTTATCTGGAAGCAGTTGAGCATCTCGTTAGTTTACTCTGCTCGTTGCACAGGAACGGTGCGGCAGTGAACGCCATCGAGTTCATCCAACGATCTTTGAGAATGCCAGGGCCAGATCTGCCTCGGGATCAAGCCAGCGAGACCGCCAGCGAGGCCGATCTTGCTTCGCCAATGACACTGGCCGAGTCAACCCCCGATCCATATGTGCTAGACGCCGACAGCACCGATAGCCCGGAGCAACGATTCGCTTCCATGGCCGAGGACCGCAAGTCACCCGGCTTCGGTTCCAGCGGCTACCGCATTCCGGGGAGCGAGAATGGCCGCATGGTTCTGCTTATTCACGCCAAAGGGAACATGCTCTACTCGTTGAAGGACATCGACCGTGCCTCCGAGGCCTTCGAGGAGGTTGTGATGATTAGCGCTGGGAAACAGGTTCAGGGAGTCAAGCCTCTCATTAAGAGGATACAAACAGTCCTGGCCCCCCGTGATCCTCGGTCGGGACATCGCCAGGGCTCTGTGGGGGGCAATCTTTCCATCCCCTTGCTGCTCCCTCCGGATAAAGCGAAGCTCACGGCTCAATACGTCTTTGCTCCCACCGGTGGCCAGTTACCCGGACTCCAACATATGGCCGAAGGGGCTCACAAAAAATCCGTGGTGGCAACAACAAGCAACTCGCTTTTGTCTCTGGCTAAGATCTACCAAGATGCGATGTCGAATGGCGGCCCAACTTCCGGCTTGATCCGCCAGCCTGCAGGTGTCGGTGACATCCTATCCCTTTATTACCTATCCTTGTCACTGCAGGAAAGCCCGTCGACCGCCAACAATGTGGGGATACTTCTCGCCGGCGTCCAGCAAACCGCACCGGTACAATACATCTCGGTTTCCGACATGGGCCTTGCTGCCAGCGTTCCCGGAATCGTTCCCGGAAGTGGCTTGTCGCTGGCACTCGCCTATTACCAGTACGGACTCACGTTGGATCCGAAACATGTCCATCTCCATACGAATCTAGGCAGTCTTCTCAAGGACATTGGACAGCTAGACATGGCTATCTCGATGTACGAGCAGGCTGTGGCGTGTGATGGGTCGTTCGACATTGCCCTGACCAATCTTGCAAACGCGGTCAAGGACAGGGGTCGGGTCAACGATGCTATCAGATATTACCAACGGGCCGTGGCGGCGAATCCGGATTTTGCCGAGGCAGTCTGCGGTCTCTCGACTGCCCTCAACTCGGTTTGTGACTGGAGAGGGCGCGGTGGCGTCTTGCTTGCCAATGGCAAGTATGATCGGTGGCATGTGGACGACAAGGGCATGCTCCAGGACGCCAAGGGCCAGGGCCAGGGAAGCGGTTTGATGAAGCGCGTTGTCGACATGGTCGGTCGTCAGCTCAAAGAGTCGTCGGCATGGGGCTGTGGGGTTCTGCAGGAGCGGTCGATCCTTCAGCTGGCAACCGAACTAAGAGATGCCGGAGCCGGTATCACAGACGCTTTCCTCGACTTGGAAGCCGAACTCCAGAAATGGGCTGGGAAACCGAGTGAGGGTTATCGGATCCTTCGCCTCATCGAACGGTCCACGGTCGCTGCCATGCGTTCATGGTACCAGGATAAGCACATCAACGGCACCCCATCACCCACCGGGTATCGCCGCCCAAAGCCTCCAGCAAGCCTATCAGTTCCGTCAGCTCCGACAGTCCTGCCGTTCCACACATTCACGTGCCCCTTGGCGGCGAAGGATGTCCGAACGATCTCGCAGAGGAACGCTCTGAGAATATCGTTTTCGACACTCAGGTCGCCCTGGATCCCGTCAGTCGTTTACGAACCCCCAGATCCGCCGAGCCCGCACCTGAACGTGGGATACGTTTCTTCTGACTTTAATAATCATCCCTTGGCGCACCTGTAAGTCCTCGAAAGATCCATTAATTATTCGTCAGCTAACACTCCTAGGATGCAATCCGTTTTCGGCATGCACAATCCGAAACGCGTGAAAGCGTTTTGCTATGCCACGACGGCGAGTGATAGGTCCATTCACCGTCAGCAAATCGAGCGAGAAGCGCCGGTCTTCCGCGATGTCAGTGCCTTCTCCCCGGACAAGCTGGTTCAGCAGATCGTCCAGGACAAGATTCACATCTTGGTCAACCTCAACGGCTACACGCGCGGTGCCCGTAACGAGGTTTTCGCCGCCCGCCCTGCCCCGATCCAAATGTCGTTTATGGGCTTTGCGGGCACACTGGGCGCCGAGTGGTGCGACTATCTCTTGGCTGATTCGACCGCCATCCCGCCATCAACCCTTCGGCCGCACCGGAGCAACCTGACGTTAGAGGACGTCTTCCGCGACGAGAAAGATGCCGATGCCGAGGACTGGATCTACTCGGAGAACATCATCTTCTGCCGCGACACGTTTTTCTGTTGCGACCACGCACAGTCTGCCGACGGGTACAATGAGCGGGACGTGACGTGGGAACAGGATCAACAAAGACGGTGGAAAATGCGCAAGGAGCTGTTCCCGAGCCTCCCGGACGATGCCATCCTTCTCGGGAACTTCAATCAGCTCTACAAGGTATGCCCATAACACTGTGTCCCACCGTGCGTTATCACGGCTAACCACATCTAGATCGACCCGACGACCTTCCGCTCCTGGTTACGCATTCTCGCAGCCGCGCCAAAGGCCTACCTCTGGCTGCTACGTTTCCCAGAACTCGGCGAGACACACCTCCGTCGCACCGCGCGCGACTGGAGCGGCGAGGGCGTCGCTAGCCGCATCATTTTCACCGACGTCGCGCCCAAGCTGCAGCACATCTCGAGAGCACGCGTCTGCGACTTGTTCCTCGACACGCCCGAGTGCAATGCCCATACCACCGCTGCCGACATCCTCTGGTCCAACACGCCGTTATTGACGCTGCCACGGTATGAGTACAAGATGTGCTCGCGCATGGCGGCCTCGATCCTCAAAGGGGCGCTTCCCAAAGGACCGGAAGGCGAGCGGGCGGCTCAAGAGCTGATCGCCCGTGACGAGGCCGAGTACGAGGAGTTCGCGGTGCAGCTTGTTAACGGGCTGGCGTATCGGTCACGCGGAGAGTACAGGGAGGGGGTCGGGAGGCTATCTGACTTGAGGAGGTTGTTGTTCGAGAGCAAATGGACCTGTGCGCTGTTTGACACGCGGCGGTGGGTCAGGGACTTGGAGGAGGCGTATGACATTGCTTGGGGCAGGTGGGAGAGAGGAGAAGGGGGCGATATATACCTTTGAGCCATGCGGCGTTGATGGTTTTTGGCTTTTGGTGCTGGCTTTGGCCTTGGCTCCTGTTCTGGCTTTAATGATCATCATATCATGGGTTGCGATGGATGGGCATTCGATGACGAAAAGGAAAGCGCTGGGTGGAAGACTTGGGTTTTGGGGGATCCATTGGGCTGGCATGCCCGGGCGATGGATGGACGGACGGGGTTACTTTAGACCTGGGTTTTGCCGGTTGCGTTTGCGGTGATTTTTTTTTTCAGGTTGTTGTTGATGTTGTGTTATGCCACGGCGCCTTTCGCTCTGAGAAAGATCTGCTTGCGGGCGGGAAGTCCGATCGAAGCGCGAGCTGCGGTCTGGACCATGCTCTATTCCCCCCTCTTAGCTCATTTTGCTCCCCCGGCTTTTTTTTGGCCGATTCTGCCTCGCGTTGAGTTGCTATCTATGTCTGGTGTTGATGTCGGTATTTATGTTGGTGTTGGCGTTGAATCTCTGTTGATATGATGGGCCCTCTCACGGAGAGTAAGGAAAGGCGTATATTGCATGCAGTGCGCATGGGTGCGCATGGCATGGTATGGACCGGTCCGCCCCGGATGGGCGGAGGGGCATGTTGGGTTTATGTATAGCGCGACTATCATAGCATGGGCAAGCGAGAGTGTGTTTCTTGTTCTCCTGGCCGTTGTTACTGGACGGTTTCTCTCTAAGGGTAGAGTGGTTGGTTGGTGCGACTGGTCTTGGTTTGACTCTACGGAGTGAAGGGCTGGCGTGGTTGGTTGGGATGGGTTGCAGGTATGGGGTGGGAGAAGGTGGGATAAGGATAAGGGAGGGTAGATGCCGATTTGTTGGCTTGTTGGTGATATATACTCGCAACTCCTCTTGCGCCTATCGGTTCTGCTGTTCCAGCAGGATATGAGTGGCAGCTTGGGTGACTGTGATGTGATGTGTATGAGGATAACTTATCATGGGATCATCACCACCGGGGTTAGTCGTTCTGATGGGCGGCTTGGTGTGTTATAAACATGTAGAAGCATTAATGTAAGACTGGGCCCCATCAGAGAAAGGAATTCAGCCGGTTTGCCAGTATAGCAATTCTATATGTGGCATGCTGACGAACATATGGAGGGATCGCTGGCATCAGGGAAAAGAACGGATTCTACAGGATGGGGAGGGGCCTTATGACATGGCGATGGCTACAAGACCAGGGAGGCTATTCGATATGCTATTCTCAGAAACTGGTTTGCACGGCGATAGTTGTGTTTTGGTGTCTTGTCGACTTGTGTCAGAACTTCGACTTGGCCCGAGTTTGGTCTTGCCAACCTGGCTGCCCTTTGCTTTTAGGCACTAACGGTCGACGGCATGGAAACAAGCAGTAAAGATTCCTCAAGACTCTCTGCTTGTTGATAACTAACTAGTTCCACAAGGTCACGATGCTTATCTAAACAACGGACTCCGTGACACTCTAACTATGCCGGCACTGGAGGCAGTCCCCTTAGTGCCCTATCTAACAACGTGTTGATCTGTAGTTACCTGTCCCCTGAAAGGGAGGTATAGCAGCACAAGCTCCCCCCATCGCACCCATCACTTCATCAACAGTTTTTTTGCAACGGTAAGACAGTTACCTTCTAGTTTCGTCTCGCTCCTCATGCAGTCAACCTTTCATCCAAGCCCAGTTCTATCACTCTTCGGGATGTGATATTACGCGGAAGTGGCTTCTAGCAGGCCTTACCAATATTTAGAAATGGTGATACAATACACAAACCCATTGTACTCCTGTGGCTTCCCTCGAGATTAGTGCGCGGCTCACTGCAGTCAACACCCGCATTGCATCCTAATTAGTATCCTCACAGCACCACCAAGGCCACTTACTCAGCTCCGGACCAAACAGAACACTAGTCTTGCTCACATGAGCCCCTGACTCACAAGTTCTCGATACATCACACCAGCCGGCGAGGATAGCCGCAACCAAGCGAATTCCCATGCTTGTCTGACTATCCTAAAACCGTCCTCCTAGCGCTGTATCACATCCGCATCCCCCGGAGCGCAACTCTGAAAGACTGCCCGGGCCGGAAACACACCAAGTCAAGTGACTTCCCTCCGGACAATACCTGCCCAAACCCAACAACAAGCAAGTCACGAGTGAGGGCGAGCGAGGGCAAGCAAGACAAGCTAACCCAACCCGACCCAACCCAGCCGATCCCCACCCCCCAACCCTCCTCGAACTGCCCCTACCCGTCGGCGTGCCCGTCCATCGTCCATCTCCCATCTCCCCATCTCCCCATTCCCGAGGACCTGCCCCCCCGGGCCGAGACAATGGGATGGGATAACCAGGATGGAATGGGCAGCAACACAAACAATCACCAACCCACCCCCGCCGCCCCGTCCACCGATTTCCCAAAGCACCCCGTCGCACCTGCACGCTCCCGCGCGGCAAAGCCAATATACAAGTAGTTTACGATTGGGGCGCCCCAAGATCGGCATCGGGCGTCCCAAACCGGAACGAGCGGCGCCCCAGGGCAGCGGCAGCGGTAGCGCAGAGCACAGAACACACATATGCATACAGCCATCGCCATCACATCCCCCCAACGCATGGCGCATGGGGCATCACGCAAACCGCATCAAACAGGCGCCAGTTGCCATGGGGGGGATGACATGACAGGTGAGGTACGGGACGACGAATAAGGGCAAGGACACTAGACGAACTAACTAGTGTAGCTAACCCCGGGCCGATCATCCCGCGCCACGATGGCGACCGGTGTGCTTCATGGGGCGTCTTCTGCCGGGTGCTATCGCTATCACATTTCGGAACCATGCCATATGTCATGTAGTTACTGTGTACTTTGTAACTATGGAATTGTGAAGAGAAGATATTTGTTTGTTTGTATTGTGTCCTTTCCGCGTGCGCCCCGAGTCACCCGTGACCCCCTCCCCGGCATCCCCGGCGCGGGACGGCACGTTGCATGCATACATGATATAAGAGCTTTGTGTCTGTAGTTATGTCTGTATATACTGGCAACACAATAAATAATACACAAACAATATACTGCCTAGCCGCCTCGCGTCTACGGATCGGTTAGCTTCCGGCGGCATTTCACAGTTCATCAGCCGATCAACGCCCATGCGCAAGGCGAGATGAATGACAATGGGGGATTTCTGCCGTATGTAGTATTCGTAAAAAATACCATAAAAGGCAGGTGATAACTAAAACCCCGTCAAAAAGAGAAACTCTTCTTCGATCCGGGATCTGCGACTTTCATCCCCCCCATGCCGGTCCCGCCAATCCGACATCGCTCGCGCACCGGTGGCCGTCAGTTTCAGGGGACCGGCTGGGCCGCTGGTAGGCCCGATACGCGAAAAGCCGTTTTGGGGCCCAGATCGCCGGGTCGGGGGGTCCAACAAGCGCGTGGGTATGGAGGGTAGGTTGTCTGATTGGCTGCGTTGGGGTTCCGATCTGGGCTGTCAAAATATCCGGTCTCCCCGTTTTCGTGTGCGCTGTTCAAAATCTCATCCTTGTTTGCTTCCGAGTTGTGGTGTGCGCCAACTCTCAGAAAGTTGTCGTGCTTGAATCTCTAGATCATTTTCATTTCGTCTCCTTTCCCGTTCCCCGAGTCAGACGCCGGCGAATAACCGTGAAGTGAAGCAAGGGGTTGCTGACACGGCACTTGCCGGAAAACTGGGCTCAGTTCTGGGTTTTTGCCTGTATGTCGCTGTAACTATTGCCGGGGGGGATTGGAGTGAACTGCGGTCATCTCCTCCACGTGAGCGGCGGCGTTCCTTGATATGGCTACCAGAGGCTAGTCGTCCATCGTTAACTATTCTTATGAGTAATCATCCGGAGCCAATGCCGTCCGTAAACAGAGGACTGCGCCACGGCATCGGATTATGCTCAAACAGCAAGAGCAAAGAATAAAAAACTCTCTGGTGGTCTCGCCCGCAGTTCGTTCAGCGGTGCATCAGTGGAAACCCCCAACGCCATTTTGGCCGAACTCCGAAAAATGGCGGGACTCCACCTGCCCTGCTCGAGCCCCTCCCCTGAGCGGTTTGTTGACTTGTGACCCTCTCTGTTGGGCAAACGGCTCCCCGTTCCAACGAGAACGCAAGCATGACGATCGCACTGCACAGTCTCCCCCCTCCCCCCCGACCCGATCGCGCGGTTTGCGCGGGTGATTGGCACAAGCCACACCGCGTGCCGGTTCTGGCACCGACTCCCAACCGATCGGCCCTTCTCACCACGACGCCGAGGAGATCCTGTGTAATCGTCGATCGGCATCCCCGGTTGTTGGCGTCGTTGCCGTTGGCTCCCAAAAAAGGAGACGGTTATGTGCCGAATGGGGCTGGCTGGTGGCTGATGCGCTCTCTGAACCCAGCGAGACAGCCGAGGAGAAACAGGAAGCGCCCCACAGACAAGGATCGCCAAATAAGGCCCTCCCCCGTTTTTGCGTTCACTCATCGGAGAAGTTGTTGTGATGTTTTCAGTTGCAAGCTTGTTCCCTGCGGTGCTGAAAAGGGGTTCGCCCGGATCGCTCAGGGCCGAAACTTCTCCCGAACCCCCTCCACCCTCCCCCCCATTTGAGAGTGTGGTGGGTCCAGACAAAAGAGAACAGGGGTCAGAACCGGCCCAACGGTCTTCCGTGCATTTGCTGTCTGGCTCCGGCCCGGGACGCTATCGGCGCGCTATTGAAGAAAACGGCGTTCGGAGGTGGGGAAACGGGTCACCGTTGTGCTCAGTGCGCACATGGCGACGGGGATTTCTCATGTCGGCGAGACATCCAACAGAACGGCGCTGCCTAGCGTCACGACTCGCTCGACTGTTCGTATTTTGACCAATAGAATGCTCGCGTTGGTAACGGTTTGGCTGTGGATACTAGTGTAGTTAGTTAGTGTAGGAGTTAAAACATGATAAACCGTTGGCTTGATGTTTTGTTTCATCGTACAAGGGACAACATCTCGGGGGATTTCTTGAGACAGACAGTCGCAAAGCTGATCGGCGGGGTTCAGCGGCCGTGTCACCAATTTTGTTGCGCTGCCGGATTCATGATCCTTCTGGTGTAACGACAAGCCGTGGTCGGGTCAACTTTTTGGTAAGCACACAGGGGTCTCAGAGTCTGCATGAGGGAACCCGGGCCCTAGTCGAGGCCCGTGGGCCCGACCAAGCCCACAATGGAGACAGGCCCCCGTTAACTACCAAGTACAATGCCATTTGTGCTTGATCCGGAGTTAGCAGCGTCTCAGGTGATTGCATATCCACGATTTGTCGCGCCGGGGGAAGGGGTCGGGGGAAGCACTCACATGAGTCGGACGGAAGTTGCCGTTGAACAAATCCCTGGGGGAGTGAAATGCCATGCACACAGTCCCATCGCGGGATGATCTTCCCACTGCAATTTTGACACGGCTGTGGCCTTGTTGTACTTTCTGGATCCGGCTAGAGGCCGTGCGGGTATCCGGTGTGCCGTGAACTTATCCGGATCGATCTCTGTCAACAAGGGGACCCAACGATTGTGGAATCCTCGCGCAGATCCTTCTTCAAGAACAGATTGGCGCCGAGTTCTGCTGGTTCCGTGACGGCGGTCCCATTCCGTCATGCTTCTCCGCTCTTTCTGCGAATGGGTTTGTTTCACCCCGGGAATCGGTCTCCGTGATCTCGAGGGATGCAGGCTTTTGCTTCATCGCCTGCAAACGATGCGGGGCCTGCAGTGAAATCGAAATGGATCTCGGGGGCGTTGCCGTGGCTTCTTTGCCCCGGTGTTTTGGGCGCTGGAAGGATTCGGGAAAACCAAACAATGTTCCGTCGTCTTCCTCCGCTGAGGCTCTTCTTGCACAGTAACCATGTAACTATCTGAACGGTCACAATGCTGGTTTTTCTTTTACCCTGCAGGAAACCGGACGACGATGGCCTTGTGCGCCGTGGCGTCGCCCCCCCGGCGCAAAGCAAATTCCATTGAGGTATCGGTCACGATATCCCCGCCGAGTTAGAGTGGGCGACAGTTCCCCGCAAACACTCGCTCTCGCAGCATTTCCCTCTGCCGGGGTGTGACAACAGAGTGTGCTCTGTCGCAATCGCGGGATCTGCAACTTGGGTTGCACAGACGGTATAAAGTATTCGAACCCGTGCGTTGCGAGGTCGCCGACCTGGTAGTTCCCGAGGTTGCATTGGTAAACTCAATACCACCCCGCGTTGCTTCCGCGGGGAGGCCTGGGCTGTTTCGTTCCAAAAGATGGCAGCGTTTGGGGAGCAAGAAGCGGATAGTGCGGGCGTCATACTGGCCCCGATCTCCGCTGTTCCAGGATTTTGAAAGGGCAAGGCGGTTTGGGTGGAGCGGCGCTAGTATGTTGTGGAGGTCTTGACCAGGGCCGTTGAGATCAACCACGGTCCCCGCCTCTGTGGCCCCGGTTCCCAATGCCGGGGTATCGCTGCGTCAGGGCTGCGGATCGTGGGCGGGACTGGCAAGTTCCAGCCATTCACGTCCTTGGATGTCATGTCGAGGCGCGGGTGATCTCGTTCCCTGGAACCGCTTTTCAGCTCGCCCCAGCTGTCTGGGAAGGGGGGGACGGGAGTTTGGGCGTTCGCAGCGACGCAGAGTGAATTTTTCAAAGACAGGGCAGCCGGCGAGGATACCGGCGATCATCCTTGGGCGGCGCCGAAACGGAACAACGGAACACGGGTCTGATCCGCCAGCTCGGCTCTGACGTGGTGTTACGGGAATATTACTTGCTCTTGTGTAACGAACAGCACAAGACAGCAGCAAGGCTTGTTGAAGTGGTAGCGATCTTCTTCTGCAAGGCATCTGATCGTCTCGATGGGTGGTTGGGGAGCTCTTGCTTTTCGGCTGGCTCAGCTCGTGTGACCCGGGTCCGATGTCATCGAGTGTGTGCTGATCGTGGGTAGCATTCCGTACCTTGGTTCGATCCTGGCCGTTTGCCTTTCAGGTCGTGGTGGGTTGTGAAGGTGAGGCGGTAAGTTACGGAGTGGAAAAATAGTTGATAACACTACGAATTTAGATAGAGTAGAAATCCAGGACACGGCGAACACTGGAATAGACGAGTAAAAATAACTAACTAACGATTAAAGATTTATTTACGATAGCTTGTTACTGTCGTGTTGATGATGGTATTCTTTGGGATTTCCCATGTTCCGTAGCCGATACCTCGGTCACTGGGGCTGAGGCCCCAATCAAAATCGAAGAAGCCCTGGTGCATCCAGGTTGGCTGCTCTTTCCAAAGACAGTATTTGTGAATTCGGGATGAACCCCGGTTCAGAAGGGAAGGCGGCAAACTCGGTCGGCCCTTCCCAGTTTCATGCGCATGAGTGCCACCTTCCGTTTTGCTGGCTGAAGCGAAACACTCTGCAGACTGCCTTCGCTTCGAAGAGAGAAACTCGAGGGACTACTTGCTTTTTCTGACACCGCCTTGAACGACGCAGTCGTCACCGTCTCTTTTGTTGCCCAACAAAATGCATCCGAACAACTGGCACTCCACAGACAGCTGAGCAGAGTTACATGGTCTACATCCACCGCCTGCAATGTAATATCGTTCTTGCATCAGAAATGCGCGGGTGTCAGCCGCTGGTTATTAGGTAGGTAGGTTATTCTTCCTACTGGGCACTCGCATTGAGTCCCGATTATTATTGTACAAAGGCATGTCCACTTTCGTACCCCATTTTCCGTAACATTGCCGCCTGCCCATCCACACATACCCCATGATATAGGACAAAGGAAAAAGGTCATCCAAGAAAGACGAGGATGCTGGGTGGTAAAAGACCGGCGAGTGCTGGGATCAGATGTACCAAAACCAGAAAGAAAACAAAAACAGAAACTGGGTATCCTAAAACGAAACAGTAAACCAACCCGACAAATGCCCCTTGTCTTTCACTCCCTGTGAGAGGTATCTCGCTCGTGACAAACCGTCCCCCGAAAACCAAAGCCCCAAAAGAGAAAAGGGAAACACAAACGCCAATGCTCACTCCGTGTACGCCATCTAGTAGAAGAGCCCGAGAAGGAGAAGGATCACGATGTGCTAGATCCCCCTAGTTGAGCAGGAACGAGAGTGATCCCTTGTCCCTCCTCCCGCCCTCGCTGTCGTGCTCTTGGTAGGAATACCCAGTGCTTGGCCTCCGCCCCTTGATTGGGTACGGCTCCCAGCGCGAAGAAGAGGAGATCGAAGCCCGGCCGATGGGTGTGTTGGGTGCGGTGGTGACGTAGTGGCACCGAGGGGAGTAGTTGCTTGACTGCAAGACCTCGGATGACCGGCGGATGGGCCCGGGTCCAAAACTGTGGCTCAGGAGGGCAGGAGCGGGGAGGCAGCTGCCTGCTGGAGGTGTTGGAGGAGCGAAGAGAAGGGGCGGTAGTGAGAAGGTGGTGGGCGAGCACGATGCCGAGGCGGGTTGGGAGATGCTCCAGGATGACCCGTTGTCCGACACGAGGGACGGGGGCCGCTCCGAGTCGTAGGAGCGAGCTGGCGAGGACCGTGAGCGGGCAACTTCGAAGGGGAGGTCGAGAGGCACCGGAGGAAGGATCCCGCGGCGCTCGGGAAGTGCAGCGAGCCCTAGCGATGGCGAGAGATCTTGAGGATATGGCGGACGTTGGCTGTGTTGTTCTTGGCCCGCTTCTTGTCTCTTGGACGTCTCCTTGCGCTTGGCTCCGTTCCACCAGTTCTTGATCTGGTTGTCGCTGCGGTTGGTGCCTAGGCTCCTGGCGATCTGTGCCCATCGCTGCCCGCTCTCGCTGACCATCCTCATGATTTGCCGCCCTTCGTCATCTGAGATGGGAGACCGGTTGAGCCCGGGCTTGAGGTGTTGTGTGTACCGTTCCCGGCACTGCTTGGCCGACCGGATGCCCATCCCCCCTGCGATACGAGTCCAGTTCGGTCCATAAGCGGAGTGCAGTTCCAGGAGGAGAACATCCTCTTTCCCCTCCCAGTTCCGCTTGTTGAGAGCCTGTTCCGATAACATTGATGCTGTGGTGGTGGGGTTGTTGATTCAAGATGTTGTTGACCTGGGGGAGGTCCAGGCGTTCAAGAGCGTCGAGAAGTGAGGCTAACACAGAGGGAGGAGGTTGATGTTGTATGAATGTACGTGTGTGTTAATGCTGACGATGGTAAAAATATCCAAGACAGAATTGAGTCGTCGATGTCGAGCTCAAGTAGTGTGTACGGATTACCGGTGGGCTGGACAGAGTTGATGAGGCGGAGGGGTGTGAGGGGGGCGGGGGGGTCATATACACCAAGGCAATCTGCATGGCGTGGGGAGAGCAATAGTGATCAGTCAGTGAGTGCAAGGCGGTCCATGTCCAGACGATCGGCTGCCAGGGTCGACGCCCGAGGGGTGGGCAGCAAGTACCCAGGGCGTCAGGTTAACGCGGGCCCTGTTGACTTCGCCCGGGATGTGGGCCTGGTCGAACCCGCCAGGGGGCCCCTAGGCGGGCTGCTGCCAAGCAACTCTGGGGGGGAGGGATGGGGGAGATGGAGGGAACACGTTACAACACCCCCTGGATGCACGTTCGATACCCGTAATACGGTGTACACACGTACCGCTGCCGTATGTGTCTCCTAGGCCAGGCCCATGCCACACGGCAAGCCCCGTCGAACCGGGCATTTCTTTGGATAAGTGCAATCCGAGTACGAACGACCAGCCAAGTTAGAAAGAACATGGGAGACTGAGGGAGCGGCTCAAAATGCAACGAAAACCCAGGTGACTCGCCTTGGCTCCCCAGCACCAAGTAAATGAATTTTGCGACGCCGACGGTCATCGCTGTTCCTGAAGCTATGAACGTAATCTCCCATTCCTAGGAGAACGGTGATTGCCTCTCCTCCGTGTAAGTGGTTATCGACTACGCAGGTCAGATCCCCGAACCAAATGTTTGTCAATTTCACGGATTCGTATTGATGTCGAGGAGCCCGGCGGCCTTTTCTCACTCCGCCCTCTCAGCGATATCTTGCATCCCTGGGCGATGAAGGTGCAATCTTGCCGTGCGAACAACCCGGCCCTAGGAGCCATGCTGCCGGGAACGATGCCCCCCCGGTTGCAGGTCATAAACATGGGACAGCAAAATTGGTGTCGAACCCCTCTTCGGCAATTCCAACAACAAAAACAGCAGCGTGAATGGTACGCTGTCAGGCTGTTCAGTTCGTCGCACCTGAACCGCATTGAAGACGGCATGCAAAGCACCCTCGCTTCTGTATGGCACTTTCAGATCAGTCGCAAGACCACGAGCTGATCGATGCATCCATGCCTTAGGACATATATGATAAGCGTATTATAGACAGGGTGGACTGCTCGACAGCCCTTTGGACAGGGGCACCGAGACGGCAACGACTAGCGAAACACGCTGTCGGGTCGCATCCCTTCTCTCTGGGCCCATCCAGCCAACCGGCCAGCTCCCCCGCGCAGCTTCGGACTGGCAATGGGACGCATAATCGGTAAATGTTCAGCTGCTCGGTCGAGTCGCACATGCTCGGTTGTAGCGCCCTTCATCTCCTCGTCAAGGGCTCTCACTCAGCGGAGGGGGGTCGATCCAGCAGCTCGGTCAATCTCGTTAAAGGTCGTCGTCGTTTACTTGGATTTCTTGCTTGTTTCGCTGCTGATAGCTGCCGGATCGAGCATGTCCCAGCTCCCGTCTCTTCTCGAGATCGGAAGGTGGGGTTTATTGTTGCGCGGCCTTCGACTTTCTTGATTAACCACATCGCAGCCCCGAGGACCCAGCGAGCCGGACCGTGTTGATCCTTGCGGGTGGCTTCAGCGACCCATCCACTTGGGTTCGCCATCGGCTGAATGCACGTTCCGGGGTTCTCCACTCACAACGGCGCCTAGCTTGTCCGAAAACGGTGTATGGTGCCCGTGCACGGTAAGTCCCATGCAGACAGCAGCAGATGCAGGATCACTTCCTGTGCCAGCGACCGACAGAAGCCGGGGCGGGCGGCGAGGGCTTGAGACCGTCATCCTGAGGTGACATCCATCCATCAGACGGAAGGGGGGACAACAGGCGCGGCACGCTCCCGCCTTCGCTCTCGCTCGTGTTGTGTCTGCAGAATCCTGTAAGTTATGTACGTACATACATACGTACATACAAGTAGACAAAGTAGGTCGGGAGGTGTGCTTGATGTGGATGTGGGTGGGACATGGGCTAATAAAGTACAGCTCTGGTTAGCTACATGACCGAACTGGAGAAATCCCAACTCTCGAGTCTGAATTGGGCGCACTAAAACAATCCAGACCAACGGGGTCCCGATCAACTGACTGCGGGGGAATCTGCATTAGGTTTGCTCCTCGTGGGCAGGCAGGGGAGCGGGTTTCTCTTTTAAATTCTCCGAAGAAAACGGGCGATAGTTTCGAGTTAGTGTAGGGAGCTCGTGGCCGTGGAGAGGGGTGGCTCGTGGGCAATTCTCCTCTCGTTTTTCTCCAGTCAGTAACCAGCTAGTTAACTCGGGCGAACCTTTCTTCCACATGTCTCATGTCTCAAACGCCATGTTTGCTCTTTCTTTCTTTGCCAGCAGGGCAGAGCGGGGCGATCAGTTATCATCTCGCCACTTGCCTGAAACTGTACCGTATCCATTGGATTGTGGTTTTCCTTCCTGCTGGGCACGTCAGGCTGTCAGCCACAGACCCAAAGAAGCTCCCCGCAATCTCGCTCCCCCTTGCACAACCAAAATCTGGTGTCGTTTCAGGACTCACAAACCCACCACCCACACCGACAAGGCCCAACAAATAAACCTTCGATCGAGTCACCTGAGCCCACCGACTCTTCTCTCGATGCAACGGGAGCACGCAGGAGCACGCACGAAACCCCCATACCGCCAAGCACCACCAAGCCACAGTCGGCTGCCGTCCTTGCCCAGCTTGTCTGTCACATCTGCGACCGACCACTGCTGTTGATTGCCAGATCGTGATAGATGGGGCTCGGCAGGCAGGTAGGCAGGGAGTTACTGTGGATGGGGACCTCCCGCGGCCACCTAACCTGCGTGCTTTCGTTCGTCTCGTGCAGCTTGCCTGCATGATCGTCCCGTTTGCCCTGGCATCCCTATTCGTCAACACACCGTCGCCGCCGTCTCTCCTAGGACAATCTACACACTGCACACCGATACGGCAGCAGCGGCTGGAGATGGCGGCGAATTGTCAGGCCACACGTTTTTCTTGTTCGTCCTTCTAGATTGCACGCGGGTCCCATCCTGTTCATCGCTCGCCCCGTGAATGCCTCGGCACGTGCTCAGGAACAATAGGCATTCAATCGATCGGTCTCTTTCTTCAATATCAAGCGTTTGCCAACAATTCTTGTGAATCTCAAGGGCCTATCGCATGGCGGGTTGCCGTCCGGAATCAACGCCGGCGGGAAACGTTTTTGACCAATACGGACAAGCCTTGTGTGTGAGGGTGCCGGCAGCTCGGGCACCACATGTGGCTAAAGCCCGACTCGGCGACCTGGGACCGGGAAAGGTGGGATCCGCCCGTTAGCGTTGACGCAAAAAACCGTTGTCACACAGCGCCGGGTCGGGGGCATCCAATCATGAGAAACAGATCTTCAGTGGCGCACCCTGCCCGATGGACGGGAGCCCCTGCCGGTACGTACCTGAGCCGTTAACCGTTCCTGGAGAAATCTAGCGAAGATTCAGCTGGCTCCTGGACGCCTCGGCATCCCAATTGGGAATCCCTCTCACTTTGCGCCGGGATGAGTGGCCAGTGGTGGTCCAGCGAAGCCAGCGAGCCCAGGACGGCGGCCAGCTTCCCCCCTTGCCGCTGTATGTAATTACCGCGCTGTTACCGTTACTTCTGACGCCGAAAGATTGCCCTCTGGGCCTCTGGGATCCCCTGAAGTGCTGGAAGGACCCTTGCGGGGATGATGGTGTCGTTCCCCTTTTCTCCGCTGGGGAGCCCCCCTCGGTGACAGGGCTTCCAGAGACGATGCAACCTCCGTCCTTTTTCGGACATCCACTCAGCATGTAAGTGAAATCCTTCCAAGCAATACCAGTAATAACGCATCCCATATGGACCCGGTCTCAAAATAGAAGGACGCAATCCGATCATGATCTCATCGTCAATGTCAGGTGAAGCACTCCAGATCGTGAATCTTGGGAGACGGGAGAGTCTGTCCCGTACAGTAACCTCGCTGTGTATATGCGCGGCTGAAGCTACGGGTATGTACGGGTACGGGTTCACCAATCTCACCTCTGCATGGCCAGCAACGGCTTCAACGTCATGAAGCCCGAGAAAATAATAACGACACAGGAGTAACTACCTACCCATTTTGTTCTCATCGATCGCCCTGCTGCTCACTCCACGATTCCCCACTCCGGAAGCCACAAATTGGCCGATGCAGGCGCCAATACCGCCATGTCAGTTTTTTCTGCTGTCCCGGCCATTCCATTGGATCGACAAGCCAGCGTCGGATCCCTGTCCAGCTCAAACCCAGAGCCGCCTGGAGACGGGATGTGAGCGGCAAGTAAAAAATCCCCCGTCGTCCGAACAAGGGCGGAAAACAGAGCAACAGGAGCGCCTAGCATGCCTGGCAAACGACACAACAATGGGAGAAAGTGCCACTTCCAGCTGCCGGCCTGAGCCGTTTCACCCTCCGTTTCCCAGGGCAGGTCCTGGTTTCTTCCGTGTGGTGTAACTCCGGACACACCCCAGGCTGATCAGTCGTCGAGGAACGAGGTGCCAGCTCTTCGCTGTTCATCAGCGCCATCCCGAGTTCGTGGCCGTTGAATGAGGGTGTGCGCACCAAGGCTGTCCCTGCCTAACTCATTGGCAGAGAAATGCCCTCACCCAGCTGGGTCCGCCCGGCCACGCCCCCGGCTCTGAGACATCTGGGTAGCCGTGCTCAACGGTCAGTGGATGACATACAGACCGGTGCGCCTCGAAAGAGGTGAACCGAGGAACCTGATCCACCCAGCGGCTGGCTGGGACCGCGAGATGGTCGATTATCAAACCCATCTTCCCCATGAGGAAAATGCTCCTCGATCGTGGGCAGCTGAGCTGGGCCCGCTGCCCTGGCCTGAAGATTGCGATTGCCCTCATCGAAAGTCGGATTCGAAGTTGTCCTGCCGTCGTGACCGGCCCCGACAGCTCCGACCCTGTTTAACATTGTGACGTGGCTCATGCGGTTTGAACCTCGAGTGCATGGATACGCCCGCAGACCTGTTCGCTCGCCCCTCCCCCACTCCTTCCCAGGCTGGCCAAAGGAAGCGGGCAGCCTGGTCTTCAAGACACGGAGCTTTGGGGTTCCGGGGACCTGCCTTGCCGCTGTTCTCTCTCAGCAAGCAGGCCGGAGGAAGAGCCGGCCGCGTGCTCCGCTGAGGCTGCCAGCGTCAGCGTATCATTCATATACAAGCAGGCGCATGGGGGCGGGTCCAGTGATGTAATTCACTACTGTCTGTCTTAGATCTAGCTAACTAGCTATTATCTCGCTTTGCTTGACCGCCTTGTTTTGCCCGTTCTGAGGGGGGTTACAATGCCGGTTCCACCCCATCTCACATCCAGTCGTCATGAAGGCCCGGAATGGAGAGAGAGCAGCAATCAAGCCCCCTTTCAGCAGGAAGCCGCTTTCTCAGCCGTCCACGAGCAGCATCTCAGCTCGGCTCAGCAAGATCGATGAAGCCCGGAGTTCCCGCCCGCAGCCCTGGGGCACAGCTTCAGAGTCAAGCCTTTTACCAAGAACGAGGCTGCCCCAGGATAATATCCAAATCACCGCTCCTGTCCTATCACATCTTTTCCCTCATCCCATCTCCAGAGATCCCGGTCCTCACCCGAAGACCATCCACCCACCCAGTCGACACAACGAGACAACCTCACACCACATACCGTGAAGTCAAGGTGCATCCGAGATCTCCCCCATGTCTCACCCCGTCCTCGGCTCTGCCAACACACGCGCCCATCCAGTAACACAAACAGACAGGGCCGTGGCGTGATCCCAACAGCACGGGCACCTGTCACAACCCAGTGAGGTGACTCGGCAACAACCCATGCACAGAGGCCAAGAAAACACCCGAACCATTGGGATGGCGAGGAACCAGAGACATGCAGAAGGTAAGGTAGCAAGCAAGCAAAGGGGCCGGAAAACGAGGAAGCGATAGGTAACCCAAGGAGAGAGGAGGCGTTGTGTGAGTGGGCTACTGGATAGAGCGTGTCCATCTGGACATACGACATACACACACTGGTACAAGGTACCTGCCCTCAAGCGTTGCGGTCTAGGGCCGGCTGAGCTTCCGAGCGTTGGTATGGTACCCAGACAGCACGCACTGCATCCGACAAGTATTCGTAATCAACGCTGCCGCTCCCCTTCCCCCCCCTTCATCCATCAGCTCGCTCGACGGCAGTCCCGGCTTCGGCGTTTATTCCCCTCCCCCGTAACTATGCCTCGCCCCTCTCAGCCCACGGACAACGCTGCGCTCCGTGCTTGCTCCCATGTCTACCCCCGTTTCTCTCTCCCTCTTCCCCCCTCCCGTACCGGGCATGCCTCTCGGGTGAGGTATGGTATGGTATCGGCGTCTAGCCTAGCGCCGGCTGGACCCAGCGGCGGCAGCAGGGATGGGATGAAAAAGGGGGCACGGCCTTCTTCTTCCTTCCATCCAACCCAGTCTGGTCCAACGCGGGTGCCAGGGCTAGCGGCAACGGTAACGGTTACTAACTCACGAGCATCGGCGCATCGGCAGCAAAGCAAGATGTGTGTGTGCTTGGTCTTCCCTGCCACGAACGGTGGGTGGGCCGCCGGCCTAGGAAGGAGAAAAAAAAAAAAAAGCCAAAAGGCCTTTCTTGCGCGCTTGCTTGAGTGGGAATGGACGGATGGGGATGCCGTTAGAGTGAACGTCTCACTTGCCACTCTCCTTTTCCCGCCAGCCAGTGGGTTCATTACGTTGCTTTACACCCACCCCTCCCCCCTTCTTTTCTCATCTCACCTTCCATGATGGAGGGATGGAGGGAGGGATGGATGGGGAGGGTTCCCTTGCCGGAAGTTCACCCACTCCTGACCAACCGGGGGACAGGCCGCGCCCACACACACCGTCGACAAGATAGACAGACAAACGGGACTGTTCTGGGGTTCTGGCCGGCCTGGTCTGCTCCCGAGATACCACGTCTCATGCAGCATGCAGCTGGTTGCTTCTTCTCCCCTTTCTTGCATTGATATGATGATGGGATATGGGTCTCTCCTTGTTTGTGTCGATACCCTCGGTTGCACCGCGCACATTTACTTCCTCTTTCCTCTTCCCTCTCCTGCATCAGGCATGGGAGCGGCGGTTATAGGTCGGGGACCATCGGCAACCTACCTAGTCCTAAAGTGATAGCCCATGGCAGGGCCGCGGTATTATGTCTCCCGATCCTGGATGGGCCGGGGAACGGTTTGGCTTCCGCCACCCGCGCCTGGATCGGTTGGGCACAATCGACCGAAAGCGAGACAGCTCGCAAACCCCATACCTAAACTGCATGCTTACACTGACACGGCTTGCCAGGATACACCGTTTCTTTTTTCTCTTGCCTTGCAAGGCTGCTTCTCGAGATCGATCGAGGAGGAGGAGGGTGGGGGGCTAGTGAGTTCTCCCTCCCCCTTGTCGTGTGAGACATTGCCACGAAAGAGCCGCGGATCGGAGTTGAAGCCTTGTTGCCATTCCATGCCTGGGTAATTCTTACAAAGCACCCAGTAAAATACCAAGCCAGCCCGTCGTAACTAAGTCATTGTTTCACTCGCTGACGAGGCGAGCTGAAATCGGCATTCCTGCCGATGAACAAAGGAGAAAAAAAAGACCAGTCCAACCACCCACTGCTGCAGACAGCAATGCCGCGGACGGCGGTGTGTGTGTATGTATGCGTGTATCATCCATCCGTCTGCCAGCCCCTTCGGAGCTGACCAGCTCCGCATAACTAAAACTTCCACTTTTTTTTCCTTTTTTCCCCGGGATACCGCATCCCCCATCCCACCCATCCTGGGGGACCACTCAATTCAACCACAAAAGTCCCCTACCCTTTTCCCGGGGCAAAAGGGGGGGGGGGGGGGGGGTTCGAGGACAAGGTCAACGACCGGCCGTGGTTGGCCAAGCTGGGAGATTGCGACCCGACGGCTTCGCAGCTGAACGGGATGGGGGGAGACGGGAAGGAAAAGAATGGATGGAGGGATGGCATCATCAGCAAACACGTGGTGGAGAGAGCTAGTGAGCGTTAGTTTAGTGAGTGGGTGGATGGGGTGAGGATGGAATGAGGAGGGGTGTGTGTGTGGTGTGGTGCGGTGTGGTGCGGAAGGAGGCAGAGGTAGGGAGGCTAGCTGAAAGGCTGAAAGTGTCTCTCTCCTGACCTCCTTTTTCCCGAGGGGGTTTCTGATTTACCGCTCTGCTGTAGGGGCGTTGGTGGCTGGCCGTGAGTGATGGGTGATGGAGTTGGGCTGGCAGTCGTGGTCGGAGGGCCAGGGGGACCCGTAGTAGATGTTGGCGGTGGGTGATGCCCTGTCGTCGTGGGTAGCCACAGGCCGAGGAAGGAGGCCGAGAACTGCAAGGACGCGTGTCAACTGTCTTGTTGTTACCCCTAAACAGCCCCCCGGCTTAGCTTTTCTGGCCGGCGCGTCCGGCACCACCGCCTTCTCGTACAAGTGCCGATGGGAAGGATGGAAGTAAACCCGCTGTACTGTGTGGCTGAGGCCGAACTGTCCCCCACTGGCTAGGAGAAACGGAGCTGGTGATATCGGGCGAGGCTCTGAATCTGTCGACTTTTTACGTTACAGCAATGGCCCAAGAACAATTTAAGAGACCGCAAGATGGTGGGGCAGGAGAGCTCAACGGAAGTGTTTCCATTCCTCACAATCGCCGCTACTAGATATCTATTTCCGCTCTTGCTTATTATAAACCGCTGCCAGAATACAAAGTTCTGTATTGTGCCATGTCGTAGTGAGCATGCGTGTACGTAAACCCCGTGGGCAGATCTTGCTGAAGAGATACCGCCCCAACGAGCCAGAATGATAGTCTCCAAACCTACTACCTCCTCCCTACACCCCGAGTCCCCCATCGCTTTTCGCATGAGCACGATATATCAGCTAACCACTGCTCTCTCTTCGCCCATAGTCACTGCTACCACCCTCTGCGGTGCCATCACCACCGCCGTCGTTCTCGCCAACCCACTTGACGGTATTCGTAGAAGTCGAATGGCTAATCGAACTGGAGCTCGAGTCGGACGGCAGCGCGGCTTCACTGTCAGGCACCACGCCCTGAAGCCCCAAGACTGAAAACAACCTGTTGGGTTCTGCTTGGGTAGGAGCTTTATTGTCCGCAGATGGCTCGAGCGGGGAGTCAACCTCAGAGGGGAAAAGAGGAGAAGTCACAGACAAGACCTCGTCGCCCCCTTTGTCGAACGAATAGCACCTACGCCGCTCTTTCTTGTCGGTTGGCTGGGCCAGCAGAGTCTCTTGATGTCTAGATTGGCTGGTCGTGATCGTCAAATGCGGCAACACCCCTTTGCCTTTGCGCTCGCGCTGGTCCTTGCGCAGCTGGTCACTTGACTCTGATAACTCGGACTGTTTCTTCCCTTTCTTCGGCCCGCCCTTCAACTTACCAAACAAGCTGAGATAGGGCTGCGCCGGCCTGACCCCTGTGTCACGTGACTCATCCGAAGACGACGACGATTCGTTATCTGTTGATAGAGAAGATTGGGATTCGAAGCTAGGCGTGAGGCTTGACTGGCCGGTACCGTCCGCAGTAGTGTGCTCCCGCGCCGTCTCGATAAAAACATCTTGACTGACGGTGGGTTTAGAAGATTCCTGGGCTCTTAGGGTTTCCTTGAGAATATCATGGGGCTCAGGAGCGCCGCCTGGGCGAACAAAGACCGGAGCAGCCCTAACTCGTCCTTCTCGGCGTTGGCAGCGGGCCAAGCTCTCCTCAAACTCGCGCCGTTCTACGATGCGGCTCAGAGCAATATCATTGTCGGAATCCAGAATTCTCGGAATCGCGGCTGGCTGCGGTTAACACTCATGTGTGATCCCAACCTAGGGGCAAACCTACCCAATGTCCTGTAGCTGCTCGTGGCCTCGGCAAGATCAACTGGTTCCTCCTCATCCTCAAGCAGCGCCTGTTCTTCCTTGGCGGCGTCTTGATGTTGCAAGTCGTGTAGGCGCTTCAGCTTGGCGTGGAACCGTTTGCTTCCGACGCGATCGACGAGGCTCCCATGGCGGGCGAGAGCAACGCTGGCCACGCCGTCTTTGCTCTCCTTGGCCAGGGCGAGCTCGAGACGCTTGACCTCTGCCTTGTAGGCCTCGCCGGTCTCGATCCACTCCTCGGTCATGCCGCGGAACTGCTCCAGCTCCCTCTCTCGCAGATCCTTTATTTCGGCGAGTTTCTCCTCGGTGTCTCGTAGCTTCCGCGTGAGGCGGTAGAAGCCCTCGATAAGGGATAGAACGCAGGAGTGGTAGCTATAGCGGTGGATGTCAGTACCAGCCCAACCCACCCCACCCACTCCCCTCAGACCCCCTCAAGGAACAAAGAGAAAGGAAACGAAAAACAGAACTCACGTCGGATCCAACCTCTCCCCGGCCCCCATCCTCCCCATCACACTACTCAACATCTCCGCCATCTGCATAAGATTCGGATTATGCCACGGCTCACCAGCCCCAGCACCAGCACCAGCACCACCCTCATTCCCCCCCCGCCCACTCCCACTCCTACTCCTCATTCCCCCACTCCCACCCCCCTCCGACCCAGCATAAGAAGAATACCCCGAATGATGATAATGATGATGATAATCCACCTCCGTCAGCGGCAACATCGACAGCGACGGGGGCATCGCCTCCAGCGCACCACCCCCACCCCCACCCCCACCACCTCCATGACCACCACCACTACCACTGCGGTTGTTTGCGCCACTGCTGCTGGTGCTCTTGAGGCTGAGGAAGCTGGAGACGGTGCGGAGGGTGGCGCCGGCGGATTTGCGGTGGTGGTGTTGGTGGTGGGAGCGGGTTGGCGGGGAGCCGGTGGTGGGGGACGCGCTGGGGGTGGTGGAGGAGGCGGGGGTTGGGATGTGGTGGAAGGTGTGGCGGGTTTGGAGGGTTGGGGGTTGTGGTGGTTGTGATGGCTGTGATGGTTGTGATGGTGGGGGTTGTTGTTGTTGTTGTTTTGCGGTGTTGCTGCTGGAGCGGCTGAAGGTGCGGAACCAGCTGGTGTTTGGGGGGTTGGAATGGTTGTTGTCGGCCATGGTTGGTTGTTTGTTTTTTGGGTCGATGAAGTTTGTGGGAAGGTGGTGGAAGTTGGGTGTTTGGGAAGGGAGTTTGTCTTAGAAGGAGGGTTGTTTGAGGGTTGTGTTGTGGGTGGTTGCGAAAGTCGAAGGTTGAATTAAGGGTGAGTCAATAATGGGAAGGTTAGTACAAAGCAGAGAGGTCATCGGGAAGGGTAAAAAACACCGAGTTCGGATGAGAATCACTTCAAGGGAAAAGGTGGAAGGAAGGTGCGAACCCAGATCAAGGTACGCCGACTTAAACAACGGGGCAACAGGCAGGGCAGTTCCTAGGCAACAGAAACCACTGTTCCTATCCTTCAGCTGTAGTCGCAGCCCTTGACGGCTGGAAAATGGAAGATTAAGGTTCGGAACGGCTTCACATGCTGCACCATACATGCATACGTCAGACGAGAACACGCGGAGACGATGAGCAGCACCTCTTCTGGGAAGCAAAGGCCAGACCTGTCTTTGGTCTGTTGTGTTTATTGTTGGCATCAACTCCGCGGCGCCACTGATGCCTTCGAAACCCAAGAAGGGCGAGCAGTAAACCATCGTTCGAACGGGGTTCATGAATCATCCTGCTAGCCCGGTGACCCAGTCAACACCACCGAGCCGCATCAACAAGGCCATGTGACGTGAACACCATACCTCCGAGTTCTCAGCCCAAGCCCATACCCAAATGCCTCTTGTCTGACCTCCGTGCTTTGCGTGCTTCGTCTGCCCCCCTGCCCAATATGTGCTTCAGACGAGGGTTCGATTTCCGCGGTCAAGCGATAACGACGGCAACCTAATGAGGGGAGAGGGATTGACGTGATGGCGGTCCCCGAGCAACGGTGGAAAGCACACCAGCCAGCGCCTGGCCACGTGTGCCATAGTAGTTCTTGGGCGATGGGCCCATTCGTCAGCTTTTCTTCACCCCGTACGACAATTAATAAAACATGTCTTCCGCTTTTTGTCTCCTTCGGCTCCTGCTTTCAATCTTCTCTGCAAAAAGCTCCTTGCCGGCGTTCCCGAACTTCTCGGGGAACAACTCCTTAGCCGTGGGCCCCATCCCCTTGATGGCGATGCCTTGGTCACTACCGCGTTTGTTGGCGATGCCACGTATGTTGAAGCCGCTCGTGCCGGGCGCCGTGATCCGATCTGCAAGACTTGCTGAAGTATGTGTCAATGGGTGAAACAGGGTGACGGGGACTGAAAAGAAATCAAATAAAAACAGAAATAGCTCGCGTCTTCTCGAGGTGGTTTGCGTGTTGTGAGGCTAGAGCACTCGCGCTAGCCTCGTCGCGAGAGAAAGTCGAAACATACCGCTTGCCAGAACCGCTGTGTCGCCGACTTGATCCATCTGCGCCCTGCTGCCGACGGAAGAGACCGCTTTGGTGGGAAACAGCTCTCTCGTCCTATTGCTGTCCCTTGACGGGAAAAGCTCTTTTGTGTTGTTGTTCCGGGAAAGACGCTCTTTGATCGAACGCCCCTTCTCCCGGCTGCGCAACGCCGCGGCTGCCCGTGCGTCCTCATCCAGATCCATCTCGGCATCCCCGTCACGGTCCCGGATCGGCGAAGCTGACCGATCGCGCAAGCCGCGGCCACTCCCGGAAAGTTTGGACGGGAAAAGTTCCTTCTCTCGGTTCCGCTGCGCTGCTCGCCTGGTATCGGAAGAGCTCGACTCTGAGCGCCGCCTCGGGTGTGAGGACCTGCCTGTCCGTGTTGCCAGGGCCGGTGCGTCGTCGTCATAGAAATTAATGTCGAAGGTTTCGGGCTCCTCGTCATCGCGGGGATCCCTCCGTCTGTCACTCCGCCTGTCACTTCGCCTGTCACTCCGGTAGCGGTCGTCCCGGTCCCGGTATTTACCCCTGCCACCGAACTCGCCCCTGCGCCGGCGCTCCTCCGGGTCGTACTCGGGGTGCAGGAGGTAAAACCGGCTACGCTCCGAAGCCCTAGCCGCCTTCCTATCTCCCTCGACAGCGAAGCGGATGCGTAATGTAGACTCGGGCTTTTGCGAGAAACCCTTGGCGGGTATCACTTCGAGAGGCGGCAGCTGCGTCGCGTCGGCGATTTCCACAGCCGCAAGCGAAACGAGGGCTTCCTGTGCTGCGGATTCGGATTTGAAGATGAAGTTGGCAGATGTGTCGTCGATCCACTCAACGCGGTTAAGTTCGCTCGTGGTGTAGTGTTCTGCTAGGTAGCCCTTGACGTGGTCCGGGTTGAAGGTATCGAGGCCTTTGATGTGCACTTTGTAGGGCACTACTGCCTTGTCCGTGTCGGTAATGTCGCCATTATCGTCGTGGTTGGGTGCCTCCTCTACCTCGCCAGGTTCCTGCAACCGAACGGCAGTTAGCGAGTTGCACTGGGCGGAACTGGGAAGCCGTCGTCAATCCGAACCTGTTCGTCCTCGGAAACGAGATCTTGGGTATATGCCTCGGGAATTGTGGGGGGCGCGAAGTTGTGGACGTCGTCGACGTCCATTTCAATGTCGAGATCCATGGTGAAAAGTTTGTGGTGCGATGCGATGCGAGATGATGTGAGGTGATGCGACGCGTGAGACGTTGTGTGATGGAACTTTGCGACTCGAGATTTGTAACAGTTGTATTCGTAGATTGCCTCGGTTCGGGTGGGATAATCAATACCTTAGGAATCGAGGGGAAGAGGCGTTATGTTATCGGAGCAAGATAAGGCATAGTTGGTTCAAAGGCAAAGCCAATTGACGTAAATGGTAAGGCTGGTTGCGAAATCGAAGACACGCGATGTTGGGCTGAGTTGGCAAGGCTGCGGCTGGTGGCGCTGAGGCGTTGGTTGCGGACGGAGATCTGGTCACGCTTTGGAGATTCGGATAAGGTATCTAAATTGTACCTTTGTGCCTTATTTATGAGTAAAGTACTTAAAAGTACTTACAGTTAAATGGCCTTCTAATTCAGCCTGTGCCCAAGATTGCTTGGCATTATTGGTTCATGACCGCTCCTGGCGTCAACCTGGACGCCTCAAGACGTTTTTGCACAGTACAAGTAAATACACCGTAGGGTGGCGTCCAAACGCTGAAACTCTCTGTCTCACTTGGACTTCTGCCATTCTCCTTCCAGAATAACCTTCCAAGCTGTACTAAAAACTAAAGACGATTCAAATCGTTACATTTCCTTATTCTTTCAACATCTATTGTTTTGTACCCAAACTTTAGAACTGCGGTAGTCAAAGCGGAATAAGAACAAATAGGACAGAGCGCTCTTGTGACGGTAAATCCACGGGCCGCACCGAACGATCAACCTGGCCATGCCCAGGGACTCGTCATCCCGGGCCGGACCTTTTGTTGTTCCTTGGCCTGCTGTGACGTCACGGGTCAGAACCAACCCGTTGCTTGATGGTTTGAGTTGAAGATGAGAAGATCTCATTTTACCTAGCAACCTAAATGACCCAGAAGAACATCCAGGCCGCCAATTCTTGTCCAACAAAAGAAGCCCATTAAACAATTGGTGACACCGCTCCCCATCGCCAGACCTTGTGTAACACGACAATATTCTTGTCATTGGTTGATGGATTCGGTCGAATCGACTTCTTCGGCACCAGGCGAGGGGATCATGTTAATCCGAACAACGTCAAAACCAATCGGTCAGAATACCCGACAGCAACCAAGCGATAAAATCCCACCAACGCCTCATTATTCTGCCTTTCGCTCCAAGCACAGCCAGCGGCCCAATGTTACGCTTTTACACGATACGATGCACTCACAGTATCAGCCGGCTCCGGGTGGCCAGATTGAAGAGGCAGAGAGAATCTATCATTTTGATTTTAGCTGACCCCTTAAATGAGCTATGCTAGTTGCTAATATCTAGGGACGGAACCATCCTCATCCATCGTCCCATGGAGACCGCCATGTTCGACGCGACACAGAGCTTATTCCTCTGATTGCCCACCCCGGACCCGGACATCTTCTCCCGACTCAACTTAACTCATTCGTCATCCAACGCTATCCAAAAACATGAGGTAAAATGAACTTCCACAAAATATGACGGAGAGAGGTGTAACAAAAACCGACAACCACAACAGACGGCGGCAGCACCAGCCAACAAACAACAACAACAACAACGCCCCCCCTCCCAAAAAAAAACAAAGTCCCAATAACCTGGATAAGCCAAGCCAAAATAAATAACCCAAACAGCCCCGCGCTGTATCGTTGTACGCCGTCTTGTCTCCGTCAAACGCCCCAGCACCTTTCACCCCCCCTCCCCGCCGGCCGCCGACCGCCGCCAACCCCTAAGTCAAGTCTATAACATTACGCCCCCGCCCACCCCTTTCAGCACGCGCTATCAGCACAGTCTATACCGTGTGTGTTTGTTGTTATTGTTGTTGTTGTTGTTGTTGTTCGTCTCGCATTGATTTATCCTCGTCGCGCCGGGGGCCGGCCAGATTTGGAACCGGTGTGCCCCGGACGTGATGGAGTTCTGTACCCGTTGTTCTCTACTTCCTCTGTACCGTCCTGTACCACTCCACTCACTGTACACACCACCAGATGGGATGGATATCCATCCTCACGCAGTCTTGATGGTATCCCTCCTCCGAAGATCCACAATCGGCCCGCCGGGCTGTCCCGCCGCCACCGCCGTCGCCGTCACCACCACCGACGAAGCCGGACACGCCCTCTTGACCCTCGCCTCATCGCCTACCTCGCCCCCTCCTCCCCCGCCCGAGGCTACCGCAGCCGCGGCGCCGGCCGCCGTCCCCGAGCTGAAGCTATTCGACCGCGACATCTCCGTCAGCGGCCGCTTGAGCCCGGCCACCGCGCCCACCGCCGCGGTGACGGGCGGCAGCGCAGTGGTGAGATCGCCGGCGGCGGGGCGGTCCTCGTCGTCGACGGCCATGTCGGCGTCGTCGAAGGGGTCGGTGTCGAGGAGGGCGTCGTGGGCCCAGCAGGATTCGAGTCCTTCCATAAAGACGGGGGCGTGGCGCAGGGTGTGCCAGCTGATGGTGTGGCGGCGCATGGCAATGTAGAGGGAGTCGATGACGCCGTGGGGGTCGAGGACGGCGCAGTGGCGGCGCAGGAACTCGTGGTCACAGCCCGGGGCGCCGCCGATCAGCAGCGCGTGGCGGCCCGGGTCGTCGAGCTGCCGCAGCATGGGCAGGCCCTGCAGCGTCGCCGCGTCGCACAGCTTGGCCTGCAGCGGCATCCATTCGCGCCCCCGCAGGAACCGCCCGAACGCCTTCTCCACCGCCTGCTTGAATGACGCCGCGTCGCGGCCCTGTACCGCCACCATCTGGTGGAGGCCCCGCGAGAGGCACCGCTGGTATGCTGTGGTGTTGCGCTCGAAGGTATGGGCACAAAGGCATGGGGTAGGAGGGAAATGTGTACTCGTCCAGGGTCTCGTGGGCTCGTGCAGAGGGGGAGAGGCTGGGCCGCCGGGAGTGGTAGTGGTGGGTGGTGGGTGTTAGGTCCAGTCGTCCTGGCCGCTCCGCCTCGGTGGTCCTCC